CTCCCTCTCCTGATAATAACATTTACTTTCTTTGACATTGAATGTGCTACTACTAGTTTACCCTTTTAATTATAGATTATCTAGGATAAATACAATAAAGTTTATCCCTCACCAAATAGAACATTTACTAAGAAATCACAATGCAACCATAGAAACACTACTTGGTAAATATGTTGTGTGTGTGCGTGCGTGCGTGCGTGCGCACGCGCGTGTGTGTGTGCGTGTCTGTGGATGGGCGGGTGTTGGTGTATGTGTGTGTCTGCTCTGTCTTCTCGATCCCCAGTGAGTCGTGGCAGATGGCAGCCAGGATTCTCTGGAGGTTTCTTCCTGTTAAAAGGGAGTTTTCCTCTCCACTGTCGCTAAATGCTTGCTTAGCATGAGGATTGTTGTAATGTCACTGACACTAGTCAGTGACTTGATGCAATTTGCTGGGTTCCCTATATAGGAAACTTTTTTCTGATTAGCTTAATGACCTGGCCTGTGTTGTAATGTTTACAATGTAAAGTGCCTTGAGACGACTCTTGTCGTGATTTGGCGCTATATAAATAAACTTGAATTGAACTGAAAATTGAAATAAATTTTCACTGTCTGAAATTTAGGGTAAATTCACAGGAACGTCTCAACTTGCAATAGTCTCCACTTGACCATTCCATCCAAACGGACATTTTCCGGCCCATTTTCAGGAACTTTTGGACTGTCTCTGAGCTCTTCAGGCATTTCCTTTGACCTCATGATTCTCATTTTCTCTGACATACATTGTGAGCTGTAAGGTCTTATATAAACAGGTGTGTGGCTTTCCTAATCAAGTCCAATCGGTATAATCACACACAGCTGGACTCCGGTGAAGATGTAAGACCATCTCTAGGATGATCAGAAGAAATGGAAAACACCTGAGTTAAATGAGTGTCACAGCAAAGGGTCGGAATACTTAGGACCATGTGATATTTCAGTCTGTCTTTTTAACAACTGCATACATTTCTGAAACTCTATGTTTTTTTGTCAATATAAGGTGCAGTGTGTACATTAATGATGAAAAAAAGAATTTGATCTTGGCAAATGGCTGCAATATAACAACGTGTGAAACATTAACGGGGGTCTGAATACTTCCCGTACCCACTGTATGGTCGTCTCCACCACCTCTGTTCTCTAAGGGTTTGTAAGATTGTGGACTGACACACACACACACACACACACACACACACACACACACACACACACACACACACACACACACACAATCTTTACTTTAATCAAGCACACACCAAATGTTTAATAAATGTTGCTGTCAATACGAGAAGATGACACTCACTTGAACAATCAGGTGCAGCAGTTAGTGGAAACAAATAAATTTTTTTTAAAGTAATAGAGCATTTTGCAGCCATCAGCAACACATCAAATCAGCTGTTTGGATATCAAGAGTGTAAAAAGTTATTACAGCTGCTAAAAGTACATCATCAAACTTTTGACAGGTATTATAAATTGACAGATTTTATTGCACTGACTTTAATTTACCAGCAGACAATATGAATGATGATTCAAAGTGCTGAAGATAGTGCCAACATGTCAGCATCTCATTTAACAAAATAAACTTCTCAGTCTCTTTCTGGCTGACCTGGAGGGCTTTATCGTTGGTAGGAGAATGGGTATTGTCCAGTAGGGCTGGGCGATGTGGCCTCAGGTCAGTATCAGAATATGTTGAGCAGTTCACCTCGGTAAGAATAAATGGATGATAAGTACCCACCACAGCGGCAGTTAGAGGGAGCGGGGGTAGATGTGGTCGAGGAGATGCCTGTTCCCACAAAAATCCTTCAACAACCAGTTGGCAACCGTTTGAGTTTGGTCACTACTGCCAGCCGGTTGCAGAAGATGGGATTGATCCTGCCACCCTCTGATTTTTGGAGAACCTGCTCTACCTCCAGAGATGCTGCTGCCCTATCCAGATTGGACAATTAACTCCCTCTATGTGGGTCTGAGGCAATCTTTTCCTTCAGGCTGCAGCTTCAGCAGAATACCTCCACTGGGTTCATTCACAGAGCTAAGCAATGGAAAGACATTGCTATGCTCCTGGTTGCCCTGGACTAGCTCCCACTAAAATACAGCATGGTATTTATGTAAAGATGCTGGTATTGTTTATTTCTGGAACAGCACTGCTTGACTTAAATCACTCTAACATGTGTGATGTTAGATTAATTAGTATATTGGGTTGAGTAAATTGCTTTAAGAGCTATTTATATTATGAACACTACTTGAGACCAATAAGCTGTGATACTCTATTTAAATATAGAATATCACCTTGCCTGGTCTTTATTTGTTTTAGTCAGAAGATTCTAGGATTCTTGTATTCATTAAGGGATTGTACACACTTCGTTTGATTCAAGAAACAGTCAGGTTTATAAAAATGAAGAATTTAGTTTACAAACAATTAAGACAAGAAAATGTTTAACCTATTATTTACTGTGAGTGGATGCGAACTAAAGGATGGTGTCTGGAACTTATGTGTGAATATAATGTACTGGAGTCAGAATCTCCATTTCTCAGAGAGCTGATTTCTGGACATAAAAGAATTTGGTTTGCAAAAAAGCTATACAGTTGTTATTAGCAAAACCACATACAGACGCCATCTCGCTGTGTTCTACCTCACCCGTTCTGGAGATCCCCGTTTGGATCCGAGATGTCAAGGAGCCGACGACCCCACTGCACTTGGTTCGTAGAGAAACCTCGATACGACCAAATCAGTCCTGAGATGTCTCCGGGTCACAACGATAGATAAAACCGAGCGTCTTAAAAATAACTCTGATGGAGTTTGCGTCAGCTTTGTTCTGCAGGTACCATCTTGTTGCGCTCAGCTTCGCAGGTGCAAAAAAGGTTAAAGGTTTTGACAACGTGTCAAAATCTTTGCGGGCTAAAGAGGCTTTTTGCTCAGATGGCCGGTCTGAAGCTTTTCTCTAGAACCCTCGAACTGTTGAACTGTTCCAACTGAGGGAAAAACCAGATGGACTAGTTTTAATGGACTGATGTTATGGATTGGTTAACCAACCACAAGTTGACAAGTCTGAGGATATTACCAAGCATCTCAGAGACACACCCTCTTCGATCTGGACACTGAATGTGTGCACAAGGTTAACTACTTGTCACGCGTTAACTTTACCTTACTCTGTCTTGTATGAGTGCAAATGGTGATGACCTCATCCAGTAAACATGCTAAGCATTTATCATTAACACAGATCAATGAACATTTAATTGTTTAGAATTACAAAATCTTTTTTCTTCTTTCTTCTGGGAATAAAGGAGTTTATTCCCTGTAATGGGCACCTTGGTAGGAGAGAATGTTATTGTTTATCTTTTATTATCTCTCAGAGCTGCAGTCCAGTTAGTGTGAGGAAGGCAGGCTCTGATTAAAGGGACTACGTGCAGACTTCCAGTCTCCTATGAGGGGAAAATATTGTAGGTTGTGTCATAGCCAGGGGTAAGTTGACCTGGCTGTGGATCTGACCTGTGGGATCTCAAAATAAGGCCATTCCGTGACATTACACATGGCATTCACCAGCAAAATCCCTTTGTTGTCCTCAGAAAGACCTGCTAGTGGTCCCGTGGTCCAAGCTTAAGTCCAGGCATGGCCATGCTTTTGCTTTTGAGCCCAAAGGCTTTGGAACAATCTTCCGCTTGGCATTAAACAGCTGCCATCTCTCGAGACTTTAAAGGCTAGTCCCCTTTTTAGTGTTTGATCCGTTTCTTCTGGTTTCCGGCATTTATTTATTTGTTTTCCTCTTCATTTCTATAATGTTATCGTGAATTCTGTTAATCTGTTTTTACACTCAATACAGAACCATAGGCCTCTGTGGCCGGTGGTGGAACAGTGCTTTATAAATGATGGATGGATTGTCATTGTCAGTCATGTTCTTTCCGCAGGCTACCATCGCTCTGCCACCTCCACCATTTCAGCTCTGTGCTCTACTGTTCTTGACTTTTTAGCTGATTCTTATGCAGGGTTTAACAGACAGACTGTTAAAGACTGTTGATTAGTCTGAGCACTGCTGCCACCCAGTGACTGGGGGCTTCCCTAGCATTCATGTGTGAAGAAAGACACTAAAAAGAAAATACTCTTGCTCTCTCCTTCTCTCCCTGTTTTGTTCTTAGTCATTTTGTCCTCTCTGCCTGTTCACTCCAGAGCTTCGGCAGAAGAGACAACATGAAGTGACTGATATTGTCTGTTATGTAATTGTAAATCACACGATCTTGGGAAAGGGATATGAGAGGGGCACATACAGGGGACGAGGCCATGAGGATATTCAGAAACAAACTGCAGAATTTAAAATTCAATCTGCAAAATAAATCAGAAGCCAATGGCGGGATGCTAAAATAGGAGTGGTTTGCACTTGCTTTTTGGTACCAAGTAAAATCAGCGGTAGCATTTAAAACCAAAATACGTGTCTAGAACCGGGGTGCATGGTCCTGGTCCTGGAGGTGCATTGCAAAATCTAAACAAACGGAAATAAAAGGATGAATTCAACTTTGATATAAACAGGAGAATTCCACAAATATAAGCCAAATGTATCAACATCAACCGTAATTTACTGGTGCAACCATAGAGTTAATGGCATTAAAGGGGAAATATTGTGCAAAACTCACCTTTGGCATCCTTTTGGGCTGCCAGGTGGGTCACTACTGCCTCAATAAACACTACAAACATAAAACGGGAAGTGTTCATCCGTTTTCTGTCAGTGTTTAAGGAATTAAGAGCTGGGGGGGGGGGGGGGGGGGGGGGGGGGCTAGCTCCAGCTTTTTTTTTCTTGAAGTGACAAAGCCCTGAAATGTCTCCTTCTGGAAATTGATCTATGTGAGAAGGATTTTGTGCAATAAACATGTATTGTAAAAACCAGAAATCTAAAAAAAAAAAAAAGTCACATGTCCCCTTTAATCTTCACAAAGATGGCTGGTTTGTAATTTCACTCACTTTTCTTCAGGGCTGTTTCTGACCACTTGTTTGTATTTTGACCCAGTTTTACAGATGTTTCCAGTCCCTGATGCGATGTGAAGTTCCTCGGCGAGGTTCCAGCCAGAAGAGCTCATCCAAGGTCGCCACCAAGGCCATGAGGGGAGCAGCAGTGACTGGTCCCCGCCAAAGCAATGATTTTCTATATATGGTAGCCTCACTGGGTCAACCGGCCGTCACCGTGCCCCAGCTACACGTTTCTCATGAACTCACCATTAATATCACAAACGGGCACTCCTCAGACAACACACCCGTTGTGGTGTAGTAGGTGACCCACTTCTATGGTTGATGGTTTGCTCCATCCGGGAACTCCTTAATATTAAAGCAACAGTCTGCCTCTTCAAGTGGACTTAAGCAGCTTTTGTATCAGCTGGTGCAACCGATGACGGTGTGAGAGGAAACACTTAAACAGCATCTGGATAGCATGAACTGTAGTACGTGTGTGTGTGTGTGTGTGTGTGTGTGTGTGTGTGTGTGTGTGTGTGTGTGTGTGTGTGTGTGTGTGTGTGTGTGTGTGTGTGTGTGTGTGTGTGTGTGTGTGTGTGTGTGTGTGTGTTAGGGGTGGGCATGAACACAAGAGGATTCATATGGAACTTTCCTTAAAGAGCACATTGCAGGTTCGAGACTCCCATCAACCAATGTTTAGAGAAACATAATAGAAACTCGTAAAAAAAATTTTTTTTTACACAAACATAAATTATTTAGGCTTTTAGAGTCGTTTTTGTGAGAAAAATGTTTTTATTTTATTTATTTATTTTTTTGCTAATCCAAGTGACGTCAGCTGAGGGAGTTCTGTTAGCTTAATCCAGAGAAAAATACGGATTCTAATGCGGCTCTGACACGGAGGAATCTTTAAATGTTTATAATTCTGCTTCTGATGGACCAAAACCATAAAGTTATGAGTTTGCTGCACGCCCCAGAGAGCAGAGACAAACCAGAGCATGGGCGTTGCACCCGTGGGGGATGTGGGGGATTCAACACCCACAATTTTCTTATTGAGATTGTTCAACACCCACACTTTTCCATCCGTTTTTGCTCACCTCCACACCAGTCTGGTTTCTCTACGTCGCACTCACTCTGTTTGCCTCATCTCCTTCTTCCCCTTCCTCTTCTGTTTCTCCTTGAAACCCGACATCGGCTGTCGGGTTTCAAGGAGAAACAGGAGAGGGAGGGAGGGAAGAGCTTGACTGAATTCATAATTTTACATCTTGACATTAGCTGTACAAACTCCGAGTTTGATAAAGTGAGGAACAACAATTTGCAGAGGTTTATAACAGGTGCGGCGCCAGGTTTTCATTTTTGGGTGGGCCACGGTAATTTTGGACGGACCTTAATAAGCAGTGATTTAAGTGAAGCAGGCAGGTCGCGCTAGAAAATTTAGTTTAAAAAGACCTCATAAATTTTTTTTCCCCGTCATTTTTATTTCTAAAATATGAAGTAAAAACTCACAATTTATTTTTCATTCATAGGCACCAGCAGGGGCGGCGTTAGGCCCGGCTACTTGGGCTGAAGCCCCGAATGTTTTATGAAAAGCCCCGGATCTAAATCGCGGAAGTAACATGCAGTACCAAAGTCCAACAGAGAGGGAGCAGCTGGCAGTAGTTTGTATACAGCCTGCCTGAGCCTCCACCACTGAAGAAGAAGCTCTTCAGCAGCCAGTTTCTTCTACACTCTCTGCCTGAAACGCATGAGTGAAGATGGACATAAGGACGTTTTTTAGACCAAAAGTACAACGACAGAACCCCAGCTTTGATGAGACTGGTGTTGACTCAGGTTTGTGAGTCTTAATTGAAAATATTTGTTGTGCTGCTGGTTTGCCTAAAGTTAGCTTACTATCAGGTGTAATGATCTGAAGTTGTATATTTATACACTGTAATTAGATCTAAGTAATCAATCAGAAGTGGTTGTTTTTATCATCAGGGAGTTTACTTAACACTCTGTATTGATTGAGAGACAAGAAAAGAGAGAGAGTTGGGATCGTTTAAGAATCTTTAATTTCTATAATTATAAATTCTTACAATCTACCAGGACTATCTCAATGATGAATGCATATGGATTTAGATGTTTCGTGTTGGTGTGTGTGTGTGTGTGTGTTTTGTTCAGAATCTCTAGGATGACGTAGCGAATCTGGTTTGTTATGACTAGGCTACCACGAGGCTTCAGAAGCTGATGACATGAGCCGCCATTTTCTGCCGTGACTACGTACCTATGGAGTCTCCTGCGGTCAGATCAGGAGTGTCAGGTCCTAGAACCCCCCTTGGTGCTGGGCTGATGAAACAGTGGTGCAGCACGACAAACCAGTCTACGGATAGCTCCGGTAGTAGTAGCAGATCTCGGCGGGTTCAGCTCTTATTGTGAAGGAGCCGTCGTCTTGTTGTTCAAACGACAGAAAATTCCAGCTCGACAGTTCAGCTCAAAGTAGGAAGTACAGCTGGCCAGCCTGTAACTTCTTAATGATGACGATGGAAATCCTTAGGACCTCGGATGTCCTGGAGCTGAGGTTAACATGGAACTGGTTAACGTGGAACTGAATATAAAATGGCGTTGCCTTCTTTTATATCTCCTAATTGTTTACCAATCTTAGTAAACCGGATTGGACACATTAAGTAAACAACCCAGATTTTGCCCTACCACAGACGAAAGTTCTGATTGGTTGAAAACAATGTGTCATGCGTTTCCATGGTAATGTAGATCAGTCTGTCTGGTGCAGCCCTGTTTATTCATTTAAACACATAACTCATGACATCTTTATTTCACAGATCATTCACCTGATTATTAATGATCAACATATGCTTTGATTAGCTTATCGCAAATAAAGTACTTTGATTAATTAACGAAAAGCGTTCTTCTTCTCTTCTTCTGTCTCTTCTCCTGGAATGTAAACATAGTGAACCAAGCGTCTCACCTTGGCGATGTTACTGTGTGAAGGGGCAGCTGTTAAGGGCAGACCATTATAAGATTCATAACGCTACACAGGTAAAGTTGCTGGAGAAAGAAAGGGAATATTTAATATCATCTCACACTAAACACTAACAGGAACAATACTCTGCCCTGAATATGCTTAATATGTAGTGTAATATAAGTTTCAGTGGGAGCACGGGCAGAATATCTTGCCCTCCAGCCAGAACCCAAAAACAGCACCAGTAGGCAACGACTTATATATATCCGTTATTAACACAACCAACAATAAAACACTATGGCCAAGTTCCTTCATGATAAAATCAGCTTTCCAGCATAAATAAAACAAGCAGCGGTACTTAGCTGTCCCAGTTGATGTGACCCCTCCCCGGGGTCTGAGCTTCCGGCCAACGCCCCGGGGTGCAGCTTGCGAGGACGGCGGGTAAATCCACAACTTAAGTTCAAATGCCAGAGTCTGTGGCGGCAGGTGTCGGCGTGGTCTTGCACCCAGCTACTCCCAGCCCTCGCTACCTAAAGAAGGCGTCAAGCCTTCCCTCCTAGCGCTGGAACACTGCCCCCCTGCTCAACTATCTCTGTGGCCGGCAGGCCTAAACGACTGCGAACGACCCCACCCCCCGAAATCCGGTGCCACAATGACAGGTCGACCACACACACCAACTCGGTAGATCTGTCACCCTTTTGTCCTCTCCGGCCTCGTTACCCATAACAAGGACCAGCCGGTGACCAATCACCACGCCCTCAGAATCCGGCACTCCCGTCTTCTGTCCTTCACAGTAGCTTCAGATTAAAAATTATGTGGTACAAGACAAATATATATGATGTTGACTTGTGTGTGTGTGTGTGTGCGTGCGTGCGTGTGTGTGTGTGTGTGTGTGTGTATTTGTTAGAGGCTCCACCCTATCGGTCTGCTAGGCAACAGCATTTGTTGCGTTGAAGAGGGAGTAAAGTAAGTTTCTTGTAGGGGGTGACTTGCTCTTTAACCTGCAATTTGCTCTTTAAGCACCATATCTGACCTTTAACCCTTCGAGCTCGGGCGTCCCCTAACTGGGGGACAAACAAGTGTGGCAGCAAAAGGCCTAGGGCTTTATTAAAAAGACATGTTAGAGCACAGATATGCTCACAGCATGTGGAGGAACAATAAAATGTATTTTTGTATTGATTTGTTGTTTACAGTAGTAAAGTTAGATAAACATGAGTTGTTTACCATCCTAAGCATTTTAAAGTGCTACAAAACATTGATACTATTTATAAAGGTAAAAAAACAAACTGCTCTGTGATTATTTAAAATTTTCTATCCTCTAGAGTTTTTCTTTAGTTCTGCTAATCATAGTTTAGTCGTGGAAGCTAGTTTTGAAGTGCATTGCTCTTGTATGTCTTATTGCTTCAAGAATAAATTTGTTTAATGTTTGCGTGAAATATCGCTAAAATCATCATCAGGTGCTCAAAGAAAGATGATAAAATGACTTTAAAAGTCAAGAAATGTTAGCAACCAAATTAATCCAGAGGAATAATGTTGCATGTTGCCTACAATGTCTGGTCTGGAGAAACAGATTTATAACAAAGGTGCAACTACTGGTTCAAGTTGGACTTTAACCTCATCGTTCAAACCTTCAACTTTGAAGAATATTTATGTTTTAAAACAATATTTAAATGAAATATGTGTATTATGTAGTTGAAAGCATTTTGTCATTCATATCCGGAGAGCTGTTATTCCGATGTGGTCGGAAGTGGTTTCATTTGACTACAACCTTGTCAGAACATTGGAATCATCTCTGTGTCTTGCTGTAAAAAAGAAGAAATGTAATATTTTTAGGTTAAGCCATGATTTGAAGTTAATGTATGAAATGCTTTTTTGTACAGTTGATCACTGTTGACCTCAGTAAAAGCAATATTATGTAAATAAAACAAATTTTCCACAATATTGTTACAATTTGATGTGTTCCTTCTGTCCTTTTTTGATTTTAGTCTGTTTGGGTTTTGGACTAAATTGTTAAGGAGGAATTACTTGGATTGACTCCTCCTTGAACCGTCACCTTATCGTGGTGGAGGAGTTTGAGTGCCCTAATGATCCTAGGAGCTATGTTGTCTGGGGCACATTGTGCCCCTGGTAGGGTCTCCCATGACAAATTGGTCTTAGGTGAAGGGTGAGACAAAGAACGGTTCAGAGGATCTTTCATGAATATGCAATCAAAGAGTCAGAGTACCCGGCCCGGAGGGTTACCGGGGTCCCACCCTGGAGCCAGGCCTGGGGTTGGGGCCCGTGAGCGAGTGCCTGGTGGCCGGGCTTTCGCCCATGCCTGAACCAGATACACGCCCGCAGGAGGAACATGAAGGGTCCGGTGCAGTGTGGATCGGGTGGCAGACCGAGGCTGGAGCCTTGGCGGTCCGATCCCCGGACAACGAAACTTAACGTTTTCTTAACTGTGTACGGTATTTATTTTAAATGCTTTTATTACGATTCTTAGTGGGCTTCCTAAACTTATTTTGGCGCGGCTTTTTCTGTCTTATTAATCATAGCAACAAGTAAACATCACGTAAAACGTCGCCTCGTGATTTCTGCGTGCTGCCGTTTACGTGTTTTATGATCACAGCAATTAACCGGCTAAGCTGTATTTCATTTTTAAGCAATGGTTGATCAATTGTCAGATCACACATGAAAAGCACTTTGGATTGCTATTATCTGTCTCACCGAGACAGATCTCAGACAGATCCTGAGACGCTCCTGCCTGACATACTTATTTTACACACAGAAAAAAATCTAACTAGTGATTTCTCTTGGCGTTCAGTTTATACATTCAAACAGCACAGCACTCTATTTAAACTACTTACATGTAAATCTGTTATTTGTCCATCCATCCATCCATTTTCATCCGCTTATCCGAAGTCAGGTCGCGGGGGCAGTAGCCTAAGTCGAGAGGCCCAGACTTCCCTCTCCCCAGCCACTTGGGCCAGCTCCTCCGGGGGAATCCCAAGGGGTTCCCCGGCCAGGTCCGGTAAGAAGTCCGCTCTGACAGCTTCTGACGTTTTTAAAAAGTATCCCAGGGGCACGGTAAGGGTCGGAGATGTTTAGTCTATTTAATTTCTGACGATATAAAACAATTTCTTCGGTTTTAAAGTGTGAAGTAAACTCCGACGGAGTAAAATCCAAGCCGATCCCGTTCACTTTGTTTACCTTTGTTGCCTGCCAACATGGCGTCTACTCTCTGAGAGTCACGTGACGTCCGGAGCTCTATAGTTGTTGCTGTCGAGCACACACGTTTGTTACTCTTGTGATGTAATGCTGCTTTCCACCACTAGATGGTGGAAGTTCCTTTAAGAGAGTCTCGCCTGACTTATGCTGCCATATCTGCATGTGGACAACAGAACTTGTGGGGAAATTGACCGAATGCTCTTCAACTTCTTATGGAAAAACAAAACACATTACATTAGAAAGAGTGTAATAATGAACGACTATCAACATGGAGGACTCAATATCTTGGACTTCACTACCTTAAACAACACGTTTAAAATTAACTGGGCAAAACATTTTCTTTAAAATCCTGTCTCCATTTGGAATTTTATTCCTCACTATATCTTCTCTAAATTTGATGGTCTAACTTTTATCCTGGGTTGTGACTACAATGTAGGAAAGCTTCCAGAAAAACTTTCAATGTTTCACAAACAAGTTCTATTAGCCTGGTCACTGATTTATAAACATAATTCTACTCCCCATACATACTTGTCTGGAATAACAGGAACATAGTGTATAAAAATAAATCATTGATTTTCTCTAATTGGGATGAGAAACAGATCATTTTTGTGAATCATTTGTATAATACTAATGGACAGCTTATGTCTTACACAGAACTCCTAAACACATATACATTTCCAGCAACTCCCAAAGAATACGCCATACTGTTTGCTGCAATAACTATGGGTGTCAGAATGCTTTTTAAAGGTGTTCTACCAGTTGTACCGCCTATTTCTCCCCCCGACCCTGTGAACACATACGTAGGAAAAGTTTGTCTCATCGAGCATAAAAACAGTAATAGGAATATCCGTGCTTTATTTCAGAGAGAATCCTTATCTGTTCCACATGTGATTTTTTATTGGAATTCCTTTGTCACTGACAACAGTTGGAAAAGAGTATGGACCATTCCTAATAAGTATTTTGTGACAAATAAGGTCAAAGAAGTTTCATTCAAAACACTTCATAAGTGTTACCCAGCTAATCATTATATGACAAAGGTTAAGAGGGACATTGATGTGAACTGCTGTTTTTTTGGAAGCCACCCTGAGACCGTTCAGCACCTCTTTTGGATCTGTTCACATGCTACAACGTTTTGGAAAGACTTTGGCAGATTTATTATCGGACAGCTCTGCAAGGACTTCGTTTTAAAAAGGGACAATGTTGTATTTTGTTTTTTTTCGCAAGCACAGAAAGGAAGATGTATACTTTGTTATAAATTTGTTAAGTATTCTAGCTAAATTCTATCCACAAATGCAAGTATAGTAACCAAAAACTAAACTTTGCGTTTCAAGCACTATTATAGTGACACTATCTTACATAAAATTGGTTAGTGGATCACCAAACAAAAAAGCTTTAAAAACTATAACTATTTGCACCACCTATAATTTATTTGGATGTGTGTAACATTTCTGTAGTGCACCCCCTGGCATATGTTTCATCTTCTTTGTTCAATTTTGTATGCAATTTGTTTGTATACTTATCACCTTGTTCAATAAAGTTTTGAAAAAGAAAAAAAAAAGTTCAGTCGGCAGTTCCTTTCAGTTGTTATTTCCCGTTTGCCTAATAAGGACAAGATAAAAGGAAGATCCCGACTTCTTCGCCATCCTTTCCTTCAAAGGTGAATCGCTGAAGAAGCTGCTGACCATCTGCCATCTGATTGCCTCACAACAATCTAAGCAGCCAAACACCTGAACAGGTGTGGTATACAGTAGGGGCAGCAGTAGCTCAGGTGGTGGAGCGGGTTGCCTCATGATCGGAGGGTCATGGGCTCGATTCCAGCTCCCGCCAGGGGTATCCTGCTGTTGTGTCCTTGGGCAAGACACTTCACCCAACTTGCCTGTGTTAGTGGTGGTCAGAGGGGCCGACGGCGCCAAATGGCAGCCTCGCCTCTGTCAGACCTCCCCAGGGCGGCTGTGGCTACAAGTAGCTTACCATCACTAGCAGTGTGTGAATGTGAGTGTGTGAAAGCGTCTTTGGGTGTTTAGAAAAGCGCTATATAAGTTCAATGCATTATTATTATTATTATTATTATACCTAATAAAGTGGGGAGAGAATGTAACAATTCACAAAGACAGAGCCAGATTTCACTAAAAGGTGTCCACAAGGTTCAGTCCCAACCAAATAATCAGACAGATTATAAAGTGCTGTCGAATCAGTAAAGCAGTAGGAAGCAGGATAGTATTTATTCACATATTTTATGGATTACAAAGCTCCCAAGCCCGGTCCCCCCCCCACCCTCAAAAACATGTGCACATCAGATCTGATGGAAACTATTAAAAGATCAAGGAGGATCAGACAAAAGCACTTGTTAAACTGTGAAGACTGGTGTTAAATGTGACCTTGGTAGAAAAAGAACTCCGGTAGGGGGTCACCCCTAAAAATAACAAATGCTGCCCCGTTCCTGGCTAGAGTCAGCTGATAAAAGAGCTGCTGCTACAACAACAAAACCAACAAATTAAACAAAACACAAATTATTTTTAGTACTTTTTTCTCCATCAATCATATGCTAACAATCACGTGCAACAGTAATTTAGCTTGACAGGTCTGTAAATTCTGTTTTTCTTTTACAAAACGCCCTCACAAGCTAAATAAAAGGAATGCAGTATTGGAACCTGGATGAATAAAACTATTAATAATCGTCTATAAGCTTTAGAAGGAATGAGAAAAAGATGAAAACAACCGTAGCAGCCAACATAGGTCCAGCAACTTTTATCCATCACGGCTTTCACAAGTTTCTAGTGTGTTGGACCAAACCATCGGTGGGTTCCTCCCACTAGAGGAGCGACTCGGATCAACTTTGCATCAACTGGTACTTTTGTCTGTTGTCAGTACTTTCCAAAAGGCCTAGTCCAAAATATTTTCCACTGTCTTATGACAAGTTAAACCAACCAGCTTGAGACGCGACAGGATGACAATTTATAAGCAGAGTGAATAAAAAAAAAACCAGAAACATCAGCGGCTAAGAACTCACACATTCAAATGCATGAAAAAGTCCAAATAAGAAGCGTGACAAGCCGGTGAGCTTGTCCGCCCTCCTTAAAGACCTGCCACATTTATTAGATGGTCCCCACCACTGCACATCAAAACACACCAGAAAACAAGGCAACCCAACACGATACACACAATCCAAAGTCTGGTCCAAGAAGGTGCCGTTTGCAAAAAGCCTTGGTTCTACTGTGTCCACTTGATGTCTCTACACTCAAATCGGTCATCAGTTGGACTTTTCGGTGAAGGTTGTTCGTGTGCTGGACGCGGGAAACAAAAATCTAAAGAAAAGAAGAAAAAAATCTTGTCTGTTTTCTAACAGTAGAGAATGAGAAGAGGCTGCAGCAGCTTGCTGTCCATGTTAAGGTTTGTTTTGCCCGCCGACTATCCGAGTCTTTTCCCGTGTCCTCACGCCATGTAGGAGTTCTGGTTCTTCAGTTTGTCCAGCTCTTTGCTCTGCTGCCTCAGAAACAGGATTCTGTAGATTAGACAAACAAAGATCAAAAGTCTGTGTGTCGCCAGACGGTGCGTGTTTATAAACACGTCATCCTCCTTACCTCTGCTCCCTCAGCGTGGCCTGAACCTCACACACTCTCACCAGGGAGCGAAGCTTTTTCATCTCTGTGCAGATTTCGGACATGTACAGCGTGCCCATGTTGTGGAAGTCCTCTCTTAGCCGAGCTGCCTGGAGAAACAGGACCGGTACCGTCGTCAAACCGGATCTCAAATAGCTACAGCGGCCAACAGCGACGGCCAACTTACCTGCTTTTCAGTATTCTCTGAAGGCCACCCTTGAATGTGTCTGATGAGGTTCTCATCGAAATGAGCTGCCAGGGTGGGAGTGAAGGAGGCAGGGGGGTTGGACAGGGTCTGGCTGCTGCTGGTGGAGGACGTGTTGGGCAAGGCAGATGGGTTTGATCCCGTGCACGGAATCTCTTGGCTGCTGGATTCGGAAAAGCGGCAAAAATGTTGATATAAAAATCAGACTTTAACAATACCAAATTATTGTTAGACAGCTACCTTCTCTGCTGCAGAGTTCTTGGGTCTTCTGGTCGTTTTTCTGTTGTCTGACACAAAGTTTGAGCTCCCTGCTTCCCCGAAGACCCACCTCCCTGAAGAACAACATAGGGAAAACAACAACAGTATTGGCATGCAGCAGAAAAACCAGTGACATAAAATCCCAGACAAGGAAAGATAGAACGACAGAGGAGAGAGAGAAAGAGGTTGTGAGTTGTATACCCTGGTTTGCGAGGGAACGACGCTGCCAGTGTGCAAGCCCAAAAGGGACTTCTGGTTGTTCTGCGGGGTGCCATTCCGAGGTGAGACGTATGGCCGAGGTGATGAGGCGTCTGCCGTCAGAGACACTGGGGACTGACTGGGCTGCTGGGCTGAACACAGGAGAACGTGTGAAGGAACATCTCAACACCCCCCGTGCTGGATGGGGAGGTTTCTTAGTTGTGTTATTGTGATGTTGTGTGATTTTTGTTAATGTGGGAAATTTGTGGTAGAAATAGTTAGACAGACAAAACCCAAGCACATGTGATGAGGTTTTCTTACTTCATCGCTGAAAACAAATCACCCTTTAATCCACAAAACGCTACCCTGTTCCCTCCACTTGGGTCATTCTAACCTTCTCCACATTCCCAGATCCAATCGAAGCCTAAAGCCTGGTTCATGCTTCTCCGTCAGCTCCGCAACGGACAGACACGCACGGATTGACGGAAGCGGTTTGCTCTCATACTTCTCCGTCTCCTGGAGAGTGTTGCAAAGCAATTGCCCGGCAGGACAGCAGAGGGCGTAGCGCTGTTCTGTGGTATCCTGTCATGTATCGGTCCAAGATAGTGTGTTTATATTGTGTTTTTTGTATATAAGAGACTTTTTAACACAGACAAATGTATCTCTCATCCTCCTCCACCTCTTCATGCGCTCGCCACCTCTAAACCCACGTTTCCTGTCATTTCAGTCCACAAATAAAACGCTTGCTGCGTATCTTTTCACTCCTCCAGTCACGGGGAATTAAACGTTCATATTTTTAGTTTTTTCGCGAGGTATTCTTCAAGCTGCTCAGTGTCTGCCGCTTGTTATCCGCGGCTCTATTTATGTTTTTGAGGGTGCAATGGCGACGGTGTAGACGACAGCGGTGTCCTGACCAATCACAAGCTTGCGTTGTCCGTCTCGACTGACGGATGTTTAGAAAAGAGCTCGAGCGGAGTGAGTGTTCAGTTGTCTTTCACAATAAATGTACTGCTAAAACGTGTGTGTGTGTGTATATTATATATATATATCTATATATATAATATACACACACACACACACACACATACACAGTATTTTCACAACCATAGGGCGCACCGTGTTATAGGGAGCAGCTTTGGTTACGGGTGTCTTTTTGGTTTTCAACACATACAAAAGGCGCATTGGGTTATAGGGTGCAGGCACGGTAAAACGTACCGGTAAAACATCTGTGCGGGCTCAGGACCCGGAAAATATCAGTGCAAACCAGACATTGTGAAAATTATAAACAGCCAAAAGCATGCTTCACTTTACTGGTCTAGTCCTGGTTTAGAGCGCATGTGCACTTCCTCATTGCGTGCGCTGACGGCTCTTGCTCTTTTTATGCGCTGATGCGCTGTGTTGAAGTTCAGAATGTGTTTACCGGTAGTTGGTGGATTTAACCACATAAACTTTCCACATGAAAAAAATCATATGTGTGTTATTAATAGGCCCCTTTTCTTCTACTACGTTCGCGTCTCACAACAACACAAAAGGCGCACCTCACCATAGGGCGCAGCGTACATTTAGGAGAAAATTTAAGACTTTTAGGTGCGCCTTATGGTCGTGAAAATACGGTATATATATATATATATATATGTGTGTATGTATATATATATATATATATATATACATACACACATATATATATATATATATATATATATATATATATATATATATATATATATATATATATATAGGCCTTAATCATTGGCTTTAGATAATGGCCATCGGCAACAAAAATCGTTGCAAATCGGCATCGGCCTTAAAAAAATACCATATCGGTCGAACTCGTGTTTTTTTTTTTTAAATAAGAATTGGGAAACATCTGGTTAATTACAACACAAATCAACGTCTGACAAGACTTTAATATCTTTTTAGAAGAGTAACAAAGAACTACAGTAAGATGGTGGAAACTGTTTCATGCTTTTTGACGGAAGGAGGCAAACCAGACGAGCTGATTGTGCTACTGGGTAAACAAACTTCTAATTTCAGAAGGAAACTTTAATCACACTCAATTCAAAAGATATTTATTTGTTTTTAAATGATTCTTCCACAGTTTCTCTACTTGTACAAACCCAATAAACATCCTCCAACATTCTTTTGAGTCATTTTTAGGGATGAGCAAGTACACCAATATCTGTATCCGTATCTGTTCAACCAACTAAATTAACTGTATCTGTACTCGGAATGGGCGTGGCATAACCCGGAAGTGGGCGTGATTTAACCAGAAGTGGGTGTGGTTTACATCAATATGTAATTTTAAGTCTGATCAGAAGTCGCTATGTGTATTGTTTATTTGAAAACTATTCACAGAGCAACCTCAGAATTGAGATTTAATATTTTAGTCACAATAGTAAAGGAACTTTTACAGAACAAGTTTTTCAGTAAAATCAGAACATTAATATTTAAGTGCATGAATTAATACATCTGAACTCATGCAGTAGGAACTAGGAGATATGAAATGCTAGAACCAGACACAACTTTATATATATATATATATATTTTTAATTTTAATTTGATTAAACATATTTTTTTCTTAACGTTCTTGGCATTTTGCCACACAAAGTTAAACAAAACAATGTGGATTGAGGTGTGTGTGTCTGAGAGAGATAGAGAGGGTGAGAGGGAGAGAGAGAGGGAGTAAAAAAAATAAAAAACCCAACCAGAGCGGAGGTAGTGACTGATGCAGCAGGTCAGCTCTGTCTTGTCAAATGCACCAGGTAAGTTACGAAAAAAGTAACTTTAAATATTCAACCGAAAAAGAGGCGAGCTGAAGAAAACCTAGGGACAACTGAAGAAACGTGAGCAACAGTGAAGCAAGCACAGCGAGACCCGTTACTGTCTCTGTGTGTGCGTGGATGAGCCGGACGGACTGCGCTCCCGGCCGGTGTCGGTACAGGATCTGCTCGGGTGCAAGATCGGCTCAGGGTCCGTCGACTGCCGATGACGTCTAAGTAGTTGATTGGGTGAACATGAACCTTATGGAAGTTACGTAATCACGTTACGTTGTTATCACGTTACGTTGTTATCACGTTACGTTGGTCCAGGCAAATCTTTCTGCTGGAAAGATGGACAACTTTTACAAAGAAATCCATCATTACCTCTTTGAAAATACACTTTTAGCATAGAGCTGCATGTATATTAGGGCTGAAAGATTAACTGCATGTGCAATTAAATTGCGATGTGACAAAAGGAGATTTTCTAATCGCAAAGGCTGCAATTTGGCAGCGAGTGGTTAGCGCAATGCTAATATACGTTGTAAAACCCATAGGAATGCTAATGCTAATATCGCCGATTACATTATTACAAATTATGAATTAGAAACGTGCCAAATGATTACATTTGGAGTCTAATAGAAAGTAAAACTACCATCAATCAAATAAGTACAGACAGGTATTTTAGTAAAGCCAGAAAACTTTTAACTCCAGAGTTTTGGCTAGCAGCTATGAGCGTAACTGAACTACGCATGGACAAGACGTCAAAAACTCTAAACACAAAATACTTCAATAAACTGGACACACTTCTTTCCTGCAAATACAATTTCACAGGTGATGCTAAAACCTATGATCCTACAAGGGATGTGCTCAAAGAGGAGTTCAACATTATGAATCAGGGTATATACAGCAATCCTTAAGTAAAATTTACTACTTTTTAATACTTTTTTTTACTACCTTCAAAATTTTTTTAAAACCATCACAACACTAAATTGCAAGTGTTAATCAGCGACCTATTTACACATATTTTAACATATATAACATTCAAAAAGAATAGACTTAGAGACTCACTGATGTTGACAATGTATTGCACATATTTATTTTACTTAGAAAATAAGCCAGGCACTTCTGTTCAGCGGTTCACAGTTGACCACGAGGCCTGAAATGATGCACAACGACCACTGAATATGACGTCATCATTATGTGACCGGATATGCTAAAGTAGGGCTGCTCGATTATGTTAAAAACAATAATCACGATTATTGTGACTGAAATTGAGATCTCGATTATTTAAGACGATTTTTCAATTTATGTTGATTTTTATTTTTTTATTTTTATTCAGTCATAAAACTGCTCAGGGCACAATCAGGGCAAAAATAAACAAGAAACAAGATGATCACTAAAATAACTCCTGATTCCCAGTATAAAAAGACCAATATACTTATAGCTCATAGTTTATGACCCAAGGGCTATAGACCTTGGTTTAACTCATTTAAGTCTAACCAGTACAGACCCAAATACCAATATCTTGCAAATACTGACAGCAAGAATTATACAGTGGCATTTATAACAAATACATGCAAATTGCTGTTCACTAAATGTTGCATAGCATTTATTGAGTCATGTCAAGGTGCTGTAGGAGAGTGCACTAGCACCGTGTCCTCAGAGAGGTTAGTTATTATTTATCAGCGTGAGGAACTCATTTCTACCTTATTTATAAACTATTTATTTACAAGTCCTGGGACGTAATTTTGGGGGGGGACGGGTGGGACATGTCCCCCCCACTTTTTCAAAAGGCAGTTTTGGTCCCCTGCACTTTTTTCCGTCCAAAAACAATGTTACGCTCCATTAAATGGATTTGGTTGAGCACTAGGACCGAAACGGAAACCGGTTTACTATTAGACCCGCCCAAAAGCTAATCTATTGGCTCTGCTGATACTTGCTAACGTATTATTGGCTGTTGCTGCTGTCACTCAAGTTGTAAACAGTGAGAACGTGCTCACGTTGTTTTGCTAGTTTGGAGCCGCTAGGGAACACCGGTACTGAGTCACATCGTCAACTAGACGCTGTGTAATATCAGAGCTCAGCTCAGCTTCCATTACATAACATTTGAATAAGTGTTCATTTGTGAGTCTTTGGTAGTTAGGCACAGCCAGGAGGCAGCATGTCAAGAAAACGAAAAGTGGATATAAGAGACTTCTTTCAAAGTCAAAACGTAAGTTGGAACATGTGACACCCCTGCATTAAGCTCAGACTCACCTCCTCCTTCACACACATACTCAAAACTAACTTTTACAAACTCATCTCCTCCACATAACTGACTCCTCAGACACAATTTATTCGTATTATTATAATTATTATTATTTTTATTATTACTATTATCATCATAATTATTATTACTACTAGTAGTAGAAGTGTAACTTCAAAACTTTTATCATTTAACTTTATTGTAAACTTATCTATTGCAATGTATATTTTCACATTAAAAAGCTCTGAAAAATGAACAGTATCATCATCGTCAACAGATTTTTTTAAGCTTAATGTCAAAGATGTACACTTTTCATTAGATTTATCTTATTTTTTCCATTTATTTTTTGTGTGTTGAAATGCAACAACTGTTTAAACACTTTTAAGGGAAAAAACATATTTAATATGTTTTTATACACTCAAATGTTAGGGTGATGATCATGTGTAAAACATTAGTTCAGCATGTCCTCTAACACAGCAAATGAACAAACGGCCAGATCTCAGGAGGACCGTTTATGTATAAATAATTTTTATACTTTTGACTAGGCCTGGGAAAGTAACACATTTTGCTGGACGATATTTTGTCCAACAAATTGTTGATGATAAACGATATCATTGTCAACATTATCTAGACCAAAATAACCACTAATATAATGTTAATATATCATAATAATGCAAGTACACCCTTTAAAATGCAACAAATAAACCTTCATTTAACACTGAAATGTCCAGAACCAGAACTTCTAAATGAATAAAAATAACAAACAAAAATTAAATAAAAAAGGAATTTCACTCCCTGTTAGAAAATGTTGCACCAAAAACAATAAAAAAGACCCAAAACAATAAATACAATGACCTATCCATTGTCAACAGCCAAAACTGCACTTCAATAATGATAATGAATAAAAATAATAATAGAGTTGTACATTTTTTAACTCTGATATATATATATATATATATATATATATATATATATATATATATATATATTGAGGATGGAAAAATTATTGAGATGGGCACGTGACCTGTCAAGGGGTCTTTACATAACACCCCCCACCCCAAATCCGCACAAGCCTGCTGTGTCCCCCCCACTTCTGAAATCAAAATTTCGTCCCTGTACAAGTCCATCAGTTAATGTAATAACTGTCCCAACCACAGCTGCACCCCCCACCCCCCAACCCGGTCTCACAGCAATCGGGGCAAGCTGCACGTGTGTTTAGCACGCCGCACGCGCACATTTAGCCGTTTTTAGCGGCTCAGGAGTCCGCAGGTGCGGTGTGTGTGTCACTCACTCTGGTTACTCCAACAAGGAGCCGGCTCCGAGAGCTGTCTTTAGCGACTGACACATCACTACATCATTCCCTTTCCTAATGTCCTGAAGAACGGTCCGGAGCGCAGGCGGAGTGTTTAGCTAACCTGCAGGAAATGTCGACGACAGTTATCCAGAAAGTAGCTAAGGGTTACCAGAGATGTTTCTGAGGTGTTTGTTAGGTACTTTTAAGATTTAAAAAGTCAAGAAGGGGTCTGAGAAGCTGCTAGAAATAGCGTCAAAGTCGCTAAGTTAACTTGGCAACACTGGGAGGAGCGCTTCATTTGCAACTCAAGGCAGCGCAAGTGGGAGGAGCAAATAATCGGCTTGTTTTGTTTTTATGATCGTTCAAAACATTTCATTCGGAATATATTTCTATGTCAATGTTCAGAATACGACATCTGATAGTCTGAAAAAAATAATACCTAATTTGGAAAAAATAATACCTCTGAGACCAAATTTAACACTTTTAATGGCCTTAAATTTGACTATTTTTATTTATCACTTTTTAATACTTTTTAAAACCCCGCGGACACCCTGATGAATACAATATAGTGTTTTATTTTACAAATACCATTATAAACACAAACTTACATTGTAAGAAACATTATTTTAATAACAAAACTGCTAAATTCATTCCAACAGTATAAAGATGTGTAGTGTATTTTGTTCGAGTGGGTTTGCCGTACTTTGACGTTATCGGCAGTCGAAGAACCCCGAGCCGATCTTGCACCCGAGCAGATCCTGTACCGACACCGGCTAGAGTTTTCTGTGTAGGGAGGGGCGGGCGCTCTATGTGACTGGCCAATCACAGAGTGTGAAGACAGTCAGTTACCCAATGAGGATTTTCCTTCAGCACGATTACAGATATTTACGAGTTTTACTCGTTTCATGCTCGTACTCGTCAAAAATGCTTTATCCGTACCGGATACTCGTCTGAAACGAGTACCCGGCTCATCCCTAGTCATTTTTATTCTGTATTACATTAATGCTGCTCAATAAATACGATGTGTTGCTTCATTTTCTAATACGAGTTCTGCTGGTGCTTTTAGAAGAGAACAAGTCTTTAGGTGAAGATCGAAGCTAACCTTGCTGGTTATAATCTGATGTGCTAAGCAGAGCACAGAGTGGTGTAAAACAAGGGTGTAAATAAAATACACCAGGGATTATCTGAACCAATGCCAGGCATTGTTCATACAAAACTAATTTAGACAACAGAGAGAAGGTATCTTGTGAAAATTAAGGATGGCGCAAGGCTGCATAGATGCCGTACCTTGGTTGGACTGTTGAGCAGCGGAGAGCAGAGCAGTGATGTTGAAAGCAGGTCCAGCAGTGAGGAGCTTATGAAGCACAGACCGCAAGGAGGCTTGGGTAACCGCAGCTGCCAAGACTGGAGAGAGGACAGAGGGACAGAACAAACACAACACACCGGTAAGCATGGACATACACAAACGGCGTCAAAACCTCGTAAGAGAGCTGCACCTTTTTGTCACCTGCTACAGGGTGTGAATCGTGCGTTTAGGATTTCAACGGCAGAGAAAGAAATCAAAGAAGAAACAGCAAGCTCACATTAGCCTGGATCTCACACAGCAGGAAGGAACCGTAAGTGTATAGCAAGGTCTGGAGTCGCAGAGCCAACAACAAAAAAGACCAATCTCATTGGACACACACTAAAGTAAGACTATTACATCAGATCAGAGCAAAAGTGTTTAGATAATGTTGGTATAAAAATGTTAGAACAGCATTCTGACTAACTAAAGCTGATTCGTGTCACACTAGGGCTGGGCGATGTGGCCTAATCAGTATCACAGTACACCGAGGACTTCACCTCGATAACGACAAATGGACGATTACTACATGTAAGCGATAAAACAAAAGCTGTCCACTAGATGGGGCTGTCACGTGTATTATGTTGAGTCATGTCATGTGACTGAAGGTGGAACAGCTTCTTAAAGGGACATGAATGTCGCACACTGCCACATTTATCTTTTTTTTGTTATTGAATTTTTTGTCATGAGAAAAATCACATCGGTTAGTCGGAAAATTTGAGAACGATACATTTACGATTTTTTGATCAGCATTATGTCACACTGTGTGGCACGCTGTACGACCTCAAACGTCAGTGACCAAAACTGCACACGCCTCACTCTAGCGGACACGCCAACGTCACAAGTAGGGATGACCCGACCAGCATTTTAGGCTTCTAGTCTTTTAACTTCAAATCTGATCTGATTTCGGGTTCTGATCCGACAGTTTTCCTTTACTACTGAAATTTAAAAAGCTGAAATATACTTTTAGCAAGTAACTCAAGTTAATTTTCTACAACTAAATTAACTAATAAGCATTACCATTATTGTTGTAAATCCCATGAAATCAACTTCCTGTTTTCAGACCGGATGTAGAGTGTTATATTTCCGCTAGCTTTATTTTGCGGTGAATTACTGCTGAGAAGTTGGACTCTAAAAAGATAGATCGCGTTCGGTTACAAAGAAGACGAGGTGGCCTGCAGCCATCGCTTTGCTGCTCTCTTTCTTTTTCTTCAGTGCGTGCTTTTAATGCCCGTAAGGTGGGTGCAGCTAATGCTAGCTCTTACTGCAGCTCACTTCACAGGAAACCCGGTTCTGCCTCCAGAATTAAGCTCTGGAGAGGGAATGGAGATATAAACCATATCTACCCTTCGTGATTATGATAAATGTCCGCTCTGTCCCCAATAAAATGGGCGAGGTCTCAGCGCTGACCCTGCTGCTGCGGGAATACTGACAGCCTGATGTGTTTTTTACAGAGACGTGGGTGAACAAGCTCATATCTCATGACTCTGAGGTTTCCCTGGAAGGATTTAAACTTATAAGCCGACAGGACAGCGGAGCAATTCGTTAAGTGTCCCAGACATCTTGAGTAATGTAAATCGCCGCTTGATTCGTCATCCACTTAGTTGACTTATTTCAGGGTATCTGTGGGTTTAAGGGAGCCAAATTTAAGACTTTTTAAGAACTTTTTTAAGGCCACTTTGCCCAAATTTAAGCTATTTATTCAATTAAATGTAAGCTATAATTTCCAGCTATTGCCTGGAGCCGGTAGCCTAGTGAACTAGACCAAATTCTTGCTTTGCAAAGTTTGGTCTAGGCACGCTCCATTGGAACATCTGCAGCTCCTACCAGGACTCTGGCTGGCAAATCACAGCTCTCTAGAGGGGTTTCAAACACATAAAGAGCTGTGATTGGTCCATAATGGTGGGCCAATCATAGTGCTCTATCTGCTTAGTGAACAAATCACAGAGCTTTATCCACTTTGTGGGCCAATCCGGGTGGAAAACATCGGTCTCCCGAGAGCTCCACAAGCCGATAGTCGGAACCCAGCTCCACCAACATGTTATATTTCAACCCATTTTCTAAAGTGCAGCATTATGTTAAATGCACTGGGTTTAACCATATTACATTTAAATTTCATGGTTAAACAGTACATGTTACAATCTAAGCTCAGCTCGGCAGTGACCTAAAATACATAAATATAATTTTACTTACAGAAAAAAATGAAGTGGAGACTCCTTGGGTGCTCTATTAGTGCAATTAATGCCACAGCAAGTCATTTTGTCCAACAATTGCACAAAAAATATCCAAAAAAGAATACACAAACACAGAGACTCAAAATCCCGGAGCAGTTTCCAAGCCAGACCGAGGCTCTACTGAGGCCTTTCCACGGAGCTAGCTCTGTGGTCACGTGGGTCTGATGCTCATTAATTATACAGAATTTTAGGCTTTTAATACACTTAAACAGAAGAATGAGAAAAAAATTCACCCCACCTCAGAGTTGTCATGAGTGTAAACTAGATCATTTAAACCAAAAACATGTTTTGGTACCAGGCTGTAAACATGTTTATTTCTGCTGTGAAATTGGTATTTTTAACATGGGAGTCAATGAGGATTTGCTTGCTTCTGACACCAGCCCCTAGTGGATGAGGGTGGAACTGCAATCTATTTCATTTCCGGGTTTGCTTCAATTTTTCACCCGCATTGTGGGGGCTTGGTCATGACGAGAGATTTGTCTACAACAGCTGAAAACACTAAGTGTGGCCCGGCCTTCAAACAAGTCAAACCACTTAAACATCCTCTGTGAGAGAACTGGTTTTTTTTTTGTTTATAACCTGTCAAGACCAGAGAAGAAATTAACCGATGCCTTTGGAAAACTTTCAACTTCCTTTATCTCATGTCAGAAGTGTTATCATGTGTGTTACAGGCCTAGGACCTCCACAAAACACTGCTGCTCGTTCCCAGCTGGTGCCAAATAACAAATGCTGGTGAAGACTCAGCAGCTCCGTGGGCTCACAGATTGTTAATGACTACGTCCCTCTTTGGTCATTTTAAAAGGAGAAAATCTGACAACCTCCCAGCCAATAAGAGGGAAATCGGTTTCAATGTCACCTTCCGTCCAACACGATTGAGACAGACTGTTTTCATTGTAGAATTCTTACTTATTGGACCTTAAAATGTTTAAAGGGGCATTATGGAAGTTTGACAGCCAAAACATGTATAGAAATAATAAATGTCTTCTTCATACATTCTCCTGCAATGCCCTGGTCCTGTAGAATGAGCCCTGGCATTTTTACTGTGATTGCCTGATTTTCTGTAAAATCACAGAAAAAGAGAGCTGCTCGGGTCGAGCAGGCTGCTTCATGCGTGTTCACGCTCAGGCATCGCCCGTAGCGTTTGCTATCCGTAGCTTTAGCAGCAGAGAGAGAGGCAGTGCCACTTTGTCGCTGTTCCTAACGCCTAGTGACAAAGCTAGCTACATTTCTGAGGACCCTTAGCTACTTTCTGTAGAACTTTCTTCTAGATATTTCCTGCAAATTAGCAACAAAATAGCCATTTTCACTCCGAACCGTTCTTTGGATTGACGTTGTTTCAGCTGTTATTTTCGTTAAGGAGTGGGCACGTACAGCATGCGCGCCTCGTGCACGAGCCTACTATTGAAGCTGCTGTTACGCTTTTGGCCTGAGGGGGCAATCGTGAGCATAAAAATTCAAAACTCCGTAAAGTCCCTTTAATACATGTTTGGATTTTGTTTCAAAACGTTTGTCCTTTAATATAGAATGCATTCATATAATGTGTAAAAATAAATATATTCTATTTCACACAGTTGTGTAAAGAAGTGAGGAACAGGAAATTGACAGATTTAAAACCGGATCAGAAAACTGGTGCACCGTTAAAATGATGTGGATCAGAGACAAAATCAGAAACCCCAGAAAGTTCAGCGGAGAGATGAAAGTTTAGTTCCTCACCCTCGTTGAGCTTGGCCATGTCCATGCTGCCATTGTTCATCTGCAGAGTGGCCTGCAGCGCTGGGAGGAGCTGATGCAGGAGAGCGGGGTCCTGGTGAAGAGCAGGTGACGGGGACTGCCCCTGTCCCATAGAGGAGGAGCAGGAGGACACGTTGGAGGGGGCTGAACCTAAAGCACCTCCAGCTGAGTTTAAGCTCTGAGAGGAAGCGGCGGAGGAGGAGGATTGGCCGCAGTTTGACAATGTGGACTGGTCCCCCAATGCTGTCTCTGAGAACAAGAAGGACAATGAAGCAGGTAAATGTCTGCAGCAAAAAACACAAAGATAATCTATGGATGGCCTGTACTTGTATAGCACCGTCTAGGGTTCAACAACCCCCCAAGGCTGGCACCACCACAGTGTAGCTCATCCCCACTCTCTGGTGGTGATTAGCTACACTGTAGCCACAGCTGCCCAGGAGCGCACTAACAGAAGCGAGGCTCCCGAGCACAGGCGATGGAAGGAAGGGTTTTAGAGTTTGGTCTTACTAGATGTGGCTTTGTCCTGCAGCGCCTCTTGTCTGTAGTCCATGTCCTTGGGGAAACTGTTAGCCACCATTCTGACCGAATCTTTCGGTCTTTGTTCCCTAAAACAGAGAAAACACAATCTAATGACATGACAGACTTGTTGTGACAAGAAATGATTTGGTTCATTTAGGGGACTGGTCTGGGTCTGAGCCGGTCACGGTGGACCAGTATGAGCCGGCAATTTCAGGAAAGCATTTCAGTCACCAGATGGACTCTCAACTGGAAGGCAGGGTTTAACCTCAAGGTTAAACCTAAACTCCATTGTCCCAGAGGCCGATCGATATTGGTTGCTTAAGGCCGATAACGATTTTTAAAGAATTTTGTTGCTGATGGGCGGCATCTAAAGCTGATTGTTAAAGATATATATATACATACATACATACATACATACATATATATATATACATACATACATACATACATACATATATATATATATATATATATATATATATATACACACACACACACATATATATATATATACATATACATACATATACATATATATATATATATATATATATATATGTATATGTATATATATGTTTAGCAGCTCATTGATTGTGAAAGACAACTTTAACTCTCACTGTGTGTGATATAAAATAAATAAGTCAATAAATCTCCCAATATTTATTGAAATTCAAATATAAAAACAAATATAAAACATTTTTAAAAAACTGTGTGTTGGGGTTCTTCTTTCAGTCTACTAGTGGCGGCAGTTGGCCACACAGGTGCCTGATTTTATTTTAATTAATCAGCTTTTAAAAAATAATTTTGGCTGATATAGAAAAATGTTAATATATCTGTCGACCTATAGTCCTATAGACCTATAACTGGGGGGGGGCTGAATGGCGTGGTCTGAGTCAGCTCTGGTGTATGGACTGCTTCTTCTACAGAAACAGACAAATAGTATCCTGACCCGCTCAGACTCAACAGAACAAGCTTGATCTGGCATCATTTAGCCCTAGCACAGACAGTGCTGCTAGCCGATAACTAGCTGCTCACGGTCATCACACACATCTGAGGGTAGCTCGCTATCACATCTCCACAGTAGTCTCCTTCTCCTTAAAGAACAAGGCTGGATTGGTAAAAAGAGCCAGTTAAGTAAACATCTATCTGATAAGTGGACAGAAGCTGCTTATTCAACAAATAAATGAAAAACTTTTAAGAATAAATGTAGTTTACTCAGGGGTGGACATTAACTTCAAAACCAACCGGCCAGCCGGGCCGGTAACTCTGAATATTTACCGGCCCTGCCAAGAATCTACCGGCCCCACTGGTCAGCTGCCAAAACGAGTCAAAATAACAACTGAACCGTTTTAAATGATAATGATGAGATTCAACTGGCAGAAACATTTGGTTCACACCATAGTCAGTCTCTCTCTCTCTCTCTCTCTCTCTCTCTCTCTCTCTCTCTCTCTCTCTCTCTCTCTCTCACACACACACACACACACACACACACACACACACACACACACACACACACACACACACACACACACACACACACACACACACACACACACACAAACACACACACACACACACACACACGAGAGAGAGAGAGAGGAAAAGAGCTGAGGAAATGGAGGAAAAACTACAGCTGAGCCGAGGCGCGCCTCGACTGGGGGGCGCGCCTGATCCGAACTGAGCAGCGGCCGAATTTCGTGAGCGATTCGCTTCTCAGCGCTTCCGCGGCCGGTGTGTCCCCGGCGTAAACGCCGGCTTTCAGCCACTCCCCCTGCTGCTTCCGTCTGCTCTCGTCTGTTTTCCAGGCGAGCTGCTGCTCAACTCGAACACGGTCATTCTCTGCGCCTCCCGTCTTCTTTAAACCGCCAAGAATCATTCCTCCTACGCACACGCTTCTCTGCTTCATACCGTTTCGAACTGTCTCGCTTCTCCTCACCAGTTTTAAAGCGTTTTGCCGGAGATTTCATCAAGAAATCCCATCCCTGTGCCGGCGGCATCTCCCTGCGTGCTCGTGTGTTTCTAGCGTGGTTCCACTTCGTCTTTAACAGTGAACTTGTAGTTCACGTGACTATAATTGTGCAGTACGTGCACGAATTGTACAAGTGCAGTACGTGGCTAGAGGCGCGCAGGTTTACGCGCGCGAAACGAAAACGGCAGCTTCCTACAGGGCGGGGCCATGATGCAGGTGAAAGCCGGTGTGTAAATGACAAATAAAGCTTGGGCGCCACCGGGGCGGTAAGTCGTCAAGTATTTACCGCCCGACGAGAAAATTTAGCGCCATTGGCGCTCGGGCGCTTTAACGGTCCACCCCTGTTACTGTAACAAAAATCACTCCTAGCCTGTCTATTGTCTATTATTTTAGTTTTTACTGTATGACATTTCATGATTTTAATATTTAAAACTAAACTCTAGATTGTGAACTGTTACAAGTATTTTGGAATGTTGACAAAAAGGAAAAAAAGGAAAACGAGCCCAGAACCGCGATTAAAACGGAACAGTGGACTCGATTCCCCAAGAGCTCCACATGAAGACAAACCAAACGCTGATTTGTGGATAAAAACAAGCAGCAGGGATGTCAGAGTTTAGCTGTGTCTTGCCTCTCCAGCAGGTCCTTGGGCTTCTCCCACTGGGACACCTCCGTTCTACAGTTGTAGTAGTACTTCTTGCCAGAGGAGCTAATGTGTTCTGTCCAGTCATCAGCAGGGTCCTGGGGTGCAGAAAGAGACAAGCCTTCAGCAACAAGGTCAGAAAGGTTTCAAAGCTATAGTTTTGGGGAAAAATTATGTATTCAGGTAAAAAAAATAAATAAAAAATAAAGATAACTTTATTGATAAACAAGGGGGGGGGGTGCCTAGTTTGGATTTAGATCAGATATTTGATATACGACAGCTGTTTTCAGAAAGGGTTCCCGAGTTCAACCGGCCTCATTTCCATCGATTGATAGCAAAGACTGTGCAGCTAGATTGGGAGACGTAAATATAAACATTGTAACAAATAAACAAGCCAGCTGTTACAATTCTTATGACGTTTTTAGTTTAAGAAGTTACAGCAACCTCTAATCTACTCATGTTCTCTTTGTGCTCTCACTGCTTGGTTTAGACCAGCGGTACTCAACAGGCGGTCCGCCAGCACCCCCACCCCATCCCCTCAGACTGGACCTCAAACTTCAAGGTTGTTGTTTTTAAGTGGCCCTCGAACCGTTACATTTGAGTACCCCTGGTTTAGACTTAAAGGTGTTGAACACGCATTTAATAAATACATTTGCAGTGCTCTAGTAGGAATGAGTGCCTTGTGAATCATATTCAGGGAAGAAAAAAGCTCAGGTACCCCTGAAACAGGAAGTACAAGTCCGCTGGATGGGAAAGCAGCTTCAGACGGCAGGATTTTCGTTTACTTCCTGATATTTGGACATCTCTCCTCAAACTGGATAACAGCGATGCGACTACCTCAGACTCTGTTTGCTTTGCAATGCTAATATTTTATACCCACAAATAACACAATCACGAAGCCTGCATGAAAAACTCAGAGTGACTGATTACAATCAGATATATCCATCCATCTATTTTCAGTCGATTAAGTGACCCGCATGGGGTCAGCAGTCTAAGAGAGACCAGACGTCCCTCTCCCCAGCCACTTGGGCCAGCTTCTCTGGGAGAATCCCAACGCGCTCCCTGGCCAGGCGAGAGACATAGTCCCTCCAGCGTGTCCTGGGTCTTCCCTTGGGTCTTCACCCAGTTGGACAAAACCTCACCAGGGAGGCGTCCAGGAGGCATCCTGACCAGGTGTGCAAGCCACCTCAACTGGCTCCTCTCGATGTGGAGGAGCAGCGGGTCTACTCAGAGCCCCTCCCGGATGACCGAGCTTCTCACCTTATCTCTAAGAGAGAGCAGCAGCAATCTGCCTATCGAATTCACTCTCCATTTTTCCCTCACTCATGAACAAGAACCTGAGATACTTAAACTCCTCCACTTAGGACAGGACCCCATTCCTGACCTGGAGAAGGCCTTCTACCCTTTTCCGAATCCAAAACATTTTTTTCAGTGAACCACACCTTTAAACACACTCACACACCTCTACGTAATGGCAATCAACTGACTAGACAAGAATCTGATGATACAATATATTGCGATACTAAAAGCCAGATGGTACTTTCAATTTTTTTGACTCAATTTATTTGGAAAACTCCGAATCACACTTCCAAGACACATCAAGTGTTGTCATGAGATCTTGTTGTTCCATCATCGCTGTCGGAGTTTGCAATGCACAAAGGAACTGTAACCAGCATTTGTTTGCATGTAAATTTACAATTAAAAAATTGATACACTGCTTTTGAATATCAATTCTGAATCACAACAAGAAATTTGTGATATTTTAGTGTATCGATATTTTGTTACATCCCTAAAAACTGACCGATCGCTTCACAAGCCAATCCAGTCTAGTCAAGAGCATCAAATATAAATATGTTAAAACACTTGATGCCTCTTTCATAAAGCCTGCTTACGCACAACAACTCCGGGTCTGAAATCTGCTGGTGAGATGGAAAAGAGTGAATTGAAGACCTTTTCAGACTTGCACTGAAGTCACTGTTTGCTTCAGTTTTCTGCTCAGCCCTCCCTGGGTACCAACATGTAACGGGATTATTAAAATGTATAAAACAGTGCTGCAGTAGCTTTTGCCGAGGGCTACCAGAGCTCCTCATGAAGAAAAATGTTAGTAAGGAAACGTTCATTAAAATAAAAATCTAGCATCAGCGTTGATTTTATTAGTATTGAGTTAAAAATGTAGTGTGGTGAATCTAAGCACGTAACATCAGTTAGAAGATTGCACAGTGACCAATGAAAACTCCTTATTAAATAAGGTAGCTTAGCTTACAATGTACTAAGCATGTTCAATACAGTTTATTTATATGGCGCCAAATCACGACAAGAGTCGTCTCAAGGCACTTCACACAGTATACATTACAATACAGGTCAGTTCATTAAGCCAAAGTTTCCTATATAAGAAACCCAGCAAATTGCATCGAGTCACTGACTTTACAGCAATCCTCACACACACACACACACACACACACACACACACACACACACACACACACACACACACACACACACACACACACACACACACACACACACACACACACACACACACACACACACACACACACACACACACGTTCTATGGTTACATTGTGATTTCTTAGTAAATATTCTATTTAGTTTGAGAAACGTTATTGTCTTTATCTCAGTGATTCTATAATTAATCAACAGGTAAACTAGTAGTAGCATATTCAATGTCAAAAAGAGGAGAGGTAAAATAATAAGTGGTTAGCAGCAGTGTTCAAGCCGATGGCCACCACAGCTGAATTTATCAAGATGATAAATGAATTAGACTCAGAGAATAAAGAGTGCCAGATTTATGCTCTTTAATGTTGGAAATGTGCTTGTGATTGACAACCTAGGCTGAGGGATAAATGGAGACTTGTAACATGTTTTCCTCCAGACGACCTGATCTCTATCCTACTAAAAACAAAACAAACAAAAGCCAATGACATGGCAACCGTAGATCAAGGCAGATCAAGGAAGCGCAATTTCACAGAAGCAGAAATTGAGGTACCTGTGGGTGAGGTGGAGATATGAAAGGAAGTGCTTTTGCAAAACAAATAAGAGAAAATCCACAGAGTGGCACAGCGTTGCTGAAGCCGTCAATGTTGTGAATTCTTCAGAGATCTGTGGTAGATATAAAAAATGGTCCAATCGGGATTCGATCCCCAGACTCCCGGGTGAAAGTCACGCGCGCTAACCAGTCACCCAAACAGAGATCTCCCTTGTCCAAGTAGCCAGGGCGCGTGATTACTCAGGTCACAGTGACAGGACACACACACTATCACAGACGCATGACATTCTGTCTCAATCTGTTCCCCTGCTAATATTCTGCATTCCGTATTCAGTGCTTCAGGCTGTGTGTGTGTGCGTGCACGCGCATGTGTGTGTGCGTGCATGTGGGGGGTCTTGTTCTGTGTGAAAACGAAGCGGCACAAGTGATAATGCTGCATGATTTCATAATTGTATCCTTCTCAGCAGCAGCACTGCAGGTGCTCTCCATGTCCAAAATGTGCGTAAGCCAGGTCCTTGGTTAACTTAAAAGTTGCGCACACTTTTCCGCTAAGTTATCTTTCATAAATCCCAAAGTTTGCGTGGAAAGTTGCTTACGCAGTTTTCCGACCCCGTTTTGTGCGTAAGCAAGCTTGATAAATGAGGCCCTGGACACTTAATGCATCAGATAGCTTCGGGCACCTACTCACCCGGTCTGGAGGTTTGCTCTGACTTGCGGGAGATTCGGTTGCTTGGTAGGAGCTGTTGTTGTGAGATGCCTCCTGAGGAGAGCCACTGATCCCTGTAACAAAGCCTTTCTTTAAACCACATAACAGAAAAGGTCCAGCAGTCTTCAGAGGACAGAATCCATGGGTAAAGCTAAAGCTAGTGCAGGGAAAAATTTGGTTTGAGAAAAAAGAAATCCTCCAGAGATATTTTGTAATGCAGGAGAGTCAAAAATGGCATCCATGTGGTGTTGAGAGAAAACAGGTATGCATAAATAACAAAAACTGTTTATACACAAAAGTTATATTTGAAATCAGCCCAAATAGAGCACCATAGAAGGCTGCATCATTTTATTTGATTAGATTAGGTTTATATGATAGGGACTTTATACACTGCTGCAAATGCACCAGAGATAGACAAAAGGCTATTTTCATCCACAGTCCTGGATTAAAAAGAGAACTGATCACAGAAGACACTTAATTTACGAGAACAAAGTTGTTTTCCCTCATGTGAAGCTTTTCATTAATTAAAATAACTAAACTCAAGTGCGTGTGTGCAGAGTTAGAACACAATGCCTTACCATTTTTTCCTCTAACAGCATGAGAGGGTTTGGCCTTGCCATGCCCAGTGCCTTCACTGTGTCTGCTGACAGGACTCTCGTCTGACCGTCGCAACACCTTATAGGGGGGCGCAGGGTCAGATGAGCCATCTCGAACCTTGTTGAAGCGGTGAAGGCTGCTGGACTGGCTTTTTGGCTGAGATTTATGGGTCTGGAAAGAAGAGTGTGTCATGGATTTACCCATGAAGAGAACATGTCTTAAAATAGTAGGTTGAAAGATGCAAAAATGAATTAGATTGTGTTCTTTGTTGTGTTGTAATCTTAAAAGCCTAACTAGAAAAAGCTACAGCTGGGTTAATTTAGAGTAGAAGAGCTACATCTCCAAAATGAAGACAACTTTTTAATCTTTATCAGACTGAAGAATGTTTTCATGGTGATATCTTACCTGATAGGATTGTGAATCCCTTCTGTCGTTGCTCCTATAAACACAAACACACAGTAACAACCAACTCTGGAGGCATCTGTACCCTAATAGTTCAGCTTGATTCGTTTCCTGACTAATGCTAATAACCTACTTTGGAGCATACTGAGCTAGCTACCGTGTTAGCAAAGCTAAGACGATTGGCCAACTTCCTCATCACTCTTAACTTACCCTTAAATGAGACAAATGATGTTTTTATTTACAATACTACCTTGTACGAGCGCAATTTACCATTATAGTGAGCGTTACGTTATGCTAACGTTAGCTAAAAGAAATATCCGGATGTTAGCCGTTAGCCGCGAAAGCGAAGCAGTACCGAGGAAAAATCCAGTGCTACATAAAAACAATTGGATATGCCCACCAATTTTTCAGATTTTACGTTTGGTGTGTGATTTACCCATCGCTGACTCTTGTTGGTTTCCTTGCATACATCACCATCAAGGCCCTGATGATGTATGTGTGTGTTTGAGGGAGAACCGTGGCCTCCTGTGCGTCTGTCTTGCACAGTTCTGTTTTTCTCGTCAGCTTCCTGCTGTCTGCTCTCAGTCTATCTTTCCAAACATACAGCTACAAGACGCACTCCGAGCACCAGCATTGCACAGCGGGTGGTGTTTCTTAAAAACCACCCTTAGTGCATCATCTGACATGTAGCTTTGGTATGCGGTTGACTCGGCCGATAGAGCTCAACGGATGGCAGGCAGCAGAAGCAGAAGGAAGCAGGAAACCACTGTTTGGCTAGGAGGATCAGGTTCCGGTATTACCTTTCAAAGTAAAGCAAATTGATCGCGCATAAGTGCGAATCAGAGGGCTAACATACAAATATAATCATCCGCTACCCTAACAATTTAGAAATAAATTAATAGCTAGATGAAGACTGATAGATTTTTTTCGTGTGGTAGTTTTCACTTGCCAAGACTTCCGGTCTGAATTCTGTCATGCGCATGCGTAATAAAATATAACTAATACATTGGTTCAGGGAAAGCACGGAGCAATAATCAGCGAGACATAAAAAACATTGCACGTTTGCAGTATTTTAAATAATGTGATACTATAATGCTACTTGGGTTCAACCCTTGATGTCTTCTGATAGGTCCTGACTAGGGGTAATTTTGAGAGGTTATCTATCTATCTATCTATCTATCTATCTATCTATCTATCTATCTATCTATCTATCTATCTATCTATCTATCTATCTATCTATCTATCTATCTATCTATCTATCTATCTATCTATCTATCTATCTATCTATCTATCTATCTATCTAAAAAACAAACATCTCACCCTCCGTGGGTGGTCTCATCCTTCCAAGCCCGGGTCCTCTACCAGAGGCCTGTGAGCTTGAAGGTTCTGTGCAGTATCTCCTACACTGCTCTGGGATACTGAGGTACTTGTCGCTGCCCTCAGTGTCTGCTATTGTTCCTTCTGGTAATGAGACCCTTTCTCTTTGTCACCATCCGACCACATTTTTGAAGTCCGAATGACATTCAGATATCTGTGCTCTAGATTATATATATATTTTTTTTTTTTACTTTATATATGTATATATATATGTGTGTATATATATATATATTACTACATATATATAGTATATATATATATATATATATATATATATATATATATATATATATATATATATATATATATATGTGTGTGTGTGTGTGTGTGTGTGTGTGTGTGTGTGTGTGTGTGTGTGTGTGTGTGTGTACAAATTAGAAGTAACATGCAGTACCAAAACCCACCAGAGAGGGCAGCACAAAGTTGCTTGCATAAAGCCTTCTTGAGTCTTCCGGGAGCGCTTCAGCTCAGCAGCTTGGCCAGACTGATATAACGACATATTTTATTTTATTTTATTACTTAAAGTACAACGAAAGAATGAAAACAGCTGTGATGATTCACATTTGTGCATTTTATTCTAAATTTGTCAATAAAGTTGTGCTTTGAAGAAATGATAGCAAAATAATGCTATTTCGGACAGTTTCACGAGGAAACCCCACAAGAACAGAACGTGATTCTCTCTGGATGACTGAAACTGAAAACGAGTAAAGTAGTTAGTACAGGAACAAATTCAATAAAAGAATGAACTTTTTTTTCATACCCTGCAATAGAACTGCCCCTGAAATATGTTGAAATTGACAAAAATGATAAACCTAAACCCAATGAGAATCATGATGTTTCTAAACTGGTTCAACTAAAATACTTTAAAAACAACCATAACCTCCAAACTAATATTTTGTTGAACAACACTTGGAGGTGCCAAACGATTTCTCTGGTTCAACCAGACTTCTGTACCTATTGACATGTGTTTTGACCCACTGCTCATTAGTAAAGTGTTCTAACTTTTCTGGGGCTGTTTTGTTTGTTTTTTATATTATTTCAAAAGCAGCGTTTTATTCAAGGCTCAGGAACAGTTTCTTTCTCCAAGTGATCACCACTCTGAATGCACACATGCACCAAATGTTTTATATAAATAATCAACTTGAAATTATTTATTTTCATGTACCAGCGGTGTTTTATGGAGTGTTTATTCATCCTATGATTTTTCTTGTTTCTTTTTCTCATCCTAGGAAAATATAAGAATCAGCACCTATGCAGTTTGGTTGTGCCTGCAGGACATTCCGATAATTAAGTTTTGCTATTCTAATAATGTCCCTAAATTTAGATTTAGCACATTTTTATTTCTTATATTTTGAGTTTCTAATTATTTCAGTTACTATTGTGAATTTAGACTTTTCTTTACGTTGTGTATTTTTCCTGGCGATAGGGGGCAGTAGATACCTAAATCATTGCAAGCAAGCAGTTTTTTTGGTGTTAAAGTAAGTCCTTACAAACGGATGCCCATTAGAGTCAAAAGCCCTGGGGAGTGCAAACTTTAGCAAAATGACGGACACATGAGACTCCCTTTCATCACTGGCAACAAGTGAAGAAGTAAATATCTAAAACAACAGCATTTAAGAATGATGGAAGTTTTGTAACCATTTGTTACAAATCATTAAATGCATTTTGTCCTCATGGGTTCCCGTAGAAGGAAACATGACATCTATTATGGAGTCGCTCAGAGACTTAGACCCATTCCCTTGTAAATTAGACCTGATTTTTATGGTTATATATTACGAATCCGCCAATGTTTTTCAACAACTGGCCATCATTTAATTTGTTTTCAAAACATTTTGATGCATGTTTTCGGAAATTAATGGTAAAAACTACACAGTGTCTCTTTAATGGAGGGATGTGAATACTTTGAGGGTTATTGTATAAACATAGCTCAAATAGTAATTTCAATTCCCAGAGGGGATCTGTTTTTGCAGTACTTTGTAAAAGCTAGCAGTATATTTATTTTATCATCACATCAGTTCATAAGTGTATTCTATTGCTTTATGTTTGCTTCAAGGTGATCAAAATGTGAAAGTTCAAATGTATCATAAAAAAAGCAATTATCTCTCATCTGGGCCAAGCCCCGGATATTTTTCAATCCTCTATGTGAGGGTTACAGTTTGATGAAGAGTAAGACTGTTATATTTAACTACTCAGATATTAGGTCTACTTAAAACAACTTTCCCAAAAGGTTTTCAGTTAGAAAGCACGTTTGTTCATCAAACCTCTCAAGTTTCAGATGACTCTTGTTCATATTCGTTTGCTTCTCTAGGGGTGGGATGTGGGGGCAGCAGCCCCAGGGGAGCCCAAACCATCCATCCCACTGACATCACCGTCAGCAGATCTGGTGGGATCCTAAAGCGATTTCTAACCAGGGCAAGCTATCCCTCCAGCGTGTCATGGGTCAACCCTAGGTTGCGGCACTACATACCTTATGTCCTCCAGAAGGTGTCCAGGAGACAACCTGACCAGATGTCTAAACTCACACACAAATCTACACACACACACACACACACACACACACACACACACACACACACACACACACACACACACACACGCACGCACTAAAATAGATACACACAAATCTAGATACAAACACACACATCTAAATACACATGCACACATATAGATACACACACACACACACACACACACATATCTTTTGAGACTTTTTTCTCCCCATATAAGGAGCCTAATTTAAATGTTGGTTTAATAAAAATGCCCAATAACAGTAACTCTGCCTGCCTTCAAAGAAGACAGTACTTAAATCAAGAAGTGTGGAAGGATTTTCTGAGATTGGTTAAGCCTGTTGTGTTTGTAACATGTGGAACAAGGGTGCTCTGCTGCAGCCATCCCTGTATCGATCGCCCTCTGGCCTGATTTAGTTCAGACCTGACACATATTGACTAAATGAAGGACAATCTATTTCACAATCGAACCAGTCCAACGCTTCATAATATCTCCCTCCAAATAGAAGTTCAAATGCTCCAGACACTGTCTGAACCAGACCTGCAGGAAGGAGTTTCTGGTGAGTGTGATGTTTTCTTCTCCATAATAATAATTGACTTACCTAAACTCTTGATGTCATATTTTAGACTGGTTTTAACTAATCGTTCAGTTTCATCTATTATGGTTTTTGCTGTTTTCTAAAGATTTACAGTTTGTAGATTTTTCTGTTTTTTAAACTAATAAGATTTTAAACTGAGCTGTTGTGGAAAATTGAGCAATTATCTTCTGTAGATTCTGCCAACACACCAGTATAATTATATATTTCAGCTCAAACTCTAAATAATCAACATATTATATATATACATATATAATTTAACTTTTTATAATATGGATTTAAATAGAATAGAAAGGATTTTTGGAACATAAGTGTAACTGTAAAGTATTTATTTCCACCAGTAGTAGGCAGTAGTATATTATATTTCTATTATACGACTATAGTTTGTAACTTTGTTCTCAGGATGAGGATGCTAAACAAAGCTGAGCCCATGAGGAAAACTTTATATTATTTAATGATCTCAAACATACAAGTGCAATCTGAGAACAGCTGTGGGAGTTCTTCTAGAGGGCGTTGGAGCCTTGGGACCACCGGTTCTAACCCAGACTCTGTCAGTGTCAGTTATTGTGTCCTTGTGCAAGACACTTCACCCTCCTTACCTTCTGGTGGTGATCAGAGGGACCATGGTACAGCAGCCTTGCTTCTGTCAGCAGGGGTGTGTCCAAGGAACGGCCTGGATTAGCACACGCCATGCTTGAAATCTGATTGGCCGCCTCAGGTGCCAACCCGTTGAGTTTGATTTAAATTGATTTGCACACAAAAGGCTTGGGATTATAAACCTTTAAACAGTAGGTTGCAGCATGTACCTTTATCACTGTTCCCAGCCCCAGGCCAGCAGAGCATAGGCAGTCTAAGTCACACCCGTCTACTTCTGGACCATGGGTCTCCTACTGCCAAAAATGAATGGGAGTCTATGAGCTGATGATAACCAACCAATCTTGTTTATAAACCCCCCTCCCCCCGCTCAAACACCAGCCTTCATGCAGCGGATTTGTTTACTACACCTCAACCCCCACCAAATAAATAAATAAATAAAAGCATAACCATAGGTGCCACTAATGCACAAACAAGTGCCCCACCTGGGCCACCTCATTGTAAAAGGCCTGGACATGCCACTGTCTGTCTCTGGGCCCCAGGACAGAGCTGTGGCTGCAATGCAGCTCATCATCAGTAGTATGTGAATGGATGGATGGATGACTGAATGTAATGTAAAGCACTTTGGAGGCCCTGCCTCAGAAAGGCTATATACAAGTGCAGGTCATATATCACGTATCATTGTAAAATGATCACAGGTCTTCAGTTTAAATTATACAATTACACTTTCAAAATAATGTGCCAGTCCAATCTAAATTTCAGGTGGAGTTTGTGTTAGGGATGCCATCGGCATAAAAAATTATAGTAGAAAATATCGGTATCATTTTCAGTCTTTTAATTACGCATCTGTTACATACCATACATGTCACGTTCTGTGGATGTTTAGGACCCAAACATGCAGATACCCAGATGACAAGAGGCAGAAGTAGATTCAAAGTAAAAATCCTTTTATTTGGAGGATAAAGAACAAAAAGTAATCCAAGGCAGCGAGCCAAAGTCCAATAAGTCCTGGGGAACAGGAACACCCAAAGCTCTTCTTAGAGCACAAAAACCTGGAGACAAAGCTCAACCAAGAGCACGAAGACCTGGAGGCAAAAACTCACACAGAGCACGAGTAACGCTGACAACATACAAACTCATACATACATACAATGAACTGGGGAACAAGAGGCTGTGGCTATAACTTAAGACACACAACAGAGATGCAGACAAAGGACACATGAGGGCGCTAAGAGAACACAAAAGGGAATCAGAGAGGGATGGAGAAACATTAGGAGACACATGGGGAAAGACGCAGACAAAGGACACATGAGGGCGCCATGAGAACACAAAAGGGAATCTGGAGTGGGAACTGGAGGGGCTGGGGAACAAAGGGACACAGAACATGACAATACACACATTATCCTCTTGAGACCCAAATTTGTATTTGATGTGATTAAAAAATAATCTATTCTAGCTACAGATAAGTCGACTCTGGTAAACGTGAAGTAATTATTACTTAGATAAAAAAAATCTTAAACTTAAAGTCAATATCAACTGTCTAAGTTGAATAGAATAAAACATTATAGTGCAATAAGTTAATGTGGACTCGGTGTCAACATCCAACTCTTCAACTTCTTCTCCTCTCTCTCAAAATGTTGACAAATCAGAGGTGAAGGATTTGAGATATTTGAGTACATCTGGAAAAACGTGTGAGTAGAAATTTGTCCTGTTTAGTGAACGTACGCTGTCCTCGCAGCACGGATGTGTAGCTAAACAGCTAACAATCAACTAAACTTAAACAGGAGTCTTCACATAAGGCTTGCTTGTCTTATCTGAAGATCGTTTTAAATGTTATCACCATAGCTGCAACATACAAAATAAAAAATACACGACTAACTAATAAACACATCTTAGCGTCACGCTCAGACAGAATGAGGTTCAGCTGCTGTTGCAGACTAGCCTGGCAAGCCAGACTAAATAAATGTATTATTTAGTCTGGCAACGCTCCATTGTCGGCTCTCGGTTGTGGGGCGGGTTCTACCGTTGTCTTTCAAATGATCTCCGCATGCTACTGGACAATGAATGTGACGTACTCACCGAAACAGCCATCGGTAAATGAGGCGGTCCGCAGTTGAAGAAGGAGAAAACATATTTTTTTCGAAAAAAAGGCACTTAAATACATCTATCTGCTCCTGATTTTAATGAAGCCCAAGTTCTAATAGTCCAAAATTAATGTAAAAGCCGTTTCAAACGAGCTGTCGCCATCTTGTTTCACTCTGTTGCATCATCCCACCCACCAGGCATATAGAGTGCCCTGATTGGCCCACAAAGCGGATAAAGCTCTGTGATTTGTTCACTAAGCAGATAAAGCACCACCATTATGGACCAATCACAGCTCTTTATGTGTTTGAAACCCCTTTAGAGAGCTGTGATTGGCCAGCCAGAATGCTGTTAGGGGCTGCAGAGGTTCCAGTGGAGCGTTCCTAGACCAAACTTTGCAAAGCAAGAATTTGGTCTAGTTCACTAGGCTAGATGGAGACAAAATAAATACGGCAATTTTCCTGTTCCTAACTTAAACTGATGTTGGTGTCATTGTGCTGATATGTGATGTTAGCAACCTAAAATGTTTCAGTTTTCCTTTTATTATGAGAGCAGGACACAGCATACGTTGGTATCAGTTTATATTGGCGTCGGAAATTAAGAGTGACACAATGTCGGTATATCGGATGTCAGTAAAAAGCTAATATCAAGCATCAGTTGTGTTGGTGTGCCTGATCTCATGTTTGTATTTCTGCAGGTGAGGTGAGGATGTCTGGAGCAGAAACTTCCACCGACAGGGAGGAGGACTACAGGTTCCTCCACAGCATGCTGATGGAGAAGAAGGTTCACCTACTTTTTAAGGTGTGGCTTACTTGCATCCATCTATTTAGTCTTCACTGTTTTCTATTGTTTTTCATTAGTGATGAACAAGAATAATGAGAATAAGAACCTTTATTTGTCCCTCAGTGTGTCATGTCCTGTGTCCCTTGTCTTCCCAGTTCATTTGATGTTTCTCCCTACAGGGGAGAGACTCTCCCCTGTGTCTTATATTTGCCCATTAACATACTTGTACATGCATGTATTATCTTCTATTTCCAGTGTGTTTAGTCTGGTTTAGTTCTGCTCCTCGTGTGGCCGTAACCTTTAATAATAATAATAATAATGCATTGGACTTATACAGCGCTTTTCTAGACACCCAAAGACGCTTTTCACACACTCTCACATTCACACACTGCTAGTGATGGTAAGCTACTTGTAGCCACAGCCGCCCTGGGGAGGTCTGACAGAGGCGAGGCTGCCATTTGGCGCCGTCGGCCCCTCTGACCACCACTAACACCTTTGATCCCTGTGTCCCTTAGCTGTTTTACCTTGGCAATAGTCATCTATTCTCCCACTCTCAATTTATTCCACATTTAGTATTTGTTGGGTTCATTTCATTTGTTCCTCAGTTTTCATCTAAGATCCTCTTCAGTTTTATCAGTTTCACCCTATTTTCAGTTTTAGTCATCTTCAGGTTTTTTTTTCTCTGTGACTTGTATATCTGAGTTGCATTTATCCTCCCTGTTTAATATTCTATTGTAGACTTTTAGTTTCATTTTTTGGTCATTGCCTGTGCTATTAGTCGTTGTTCATTGTGCTCTATAGCTTTCGTATTACCATTTTCCTCCTGTCGTCTTTGTTTTCTGCCTCCCTTTCAATGGCACTCCCAAGGGGTGGCCAGGGGTGGCCATGGCCACCCCTAGAGAATTGCTGCCCCCCCCCCCCCCCCCCCCCCAGCAAAAGCCAGTGTTAATAAATCATATTTGTCACATTGAGAGGACTGTTTGGACCCAAAATGCAGATACCCAGGATGACACGAGGCAGGAGCTGATATAAAGAAAATCCTTTTATTGTAGGATGAGTCCAAAAATAAAAATAAATCCAAAAGGCAGGGAGTCAAAATCCAAAAATCAGGAAATGATCAGGAGATCCAAAAACACCAGAGGAACGGGCAGACTGACAGAATAAATCACGCTGACAAACAACAATGAACCGACAAGACAATGAGAAACAGACAGGGCTTTATAGACTGGGGCATAATGGGAGGCAGACTTCTTTACCATCTTTTCTGGGAAAGACAACTCTCTGCGCATGCTCAAACTATTTATTCGGATTTAATGCTTGGTGCATAAAATAGTGTCCATGTAAACAGACATTTGGGATTTCCGAACACCAAGATTTTCATCGGATAGAGGAGATTTTGCGCATGTAAACGTGGCTAATGTGTGTTAGCCAGCATCACACTCTGTTCAGGTTAAAAAGACAGCGAAGTAACTTAACAATCACTCACGAGAAGTTAGCTTCTATTAGTGACACTCTAATCGAAGCATTATCACCCATATAACTTGCTTTTCTTTTTAAAGCTACAGCTAAACTTCTCACAGAACACTCCCAAGAGCCCTCACGTCAAAAACAAGTCACAAAAGCTACTTAACTCAACTTAAAATCGACTTTTTAACAACATATTATTCTTCTCACGTGTACTCACCTCCACCAGCTACATGCTAACAGCTGGGGTGGCTGTAAGCACGCCTGAAGGACCCCTGCATTAATCGCATTAAAATATCACCTTCTTTTGGTGTTAAATAAAATATAACATTGCTTACCTCTTGGAGCTAAACAAGAATAAGGGATTCTTGAGAAGTGTGGGTGATGTGCTCTCCTGCTTATCACAACTGCTGACAGCTGCATGCAGGGCAGCAGGGTAGAGAACTCAGCATAACGCAGGGCACTTTTTCAGAAATGTTACAAATTAATTAATTAATTGATTACAGTTTTATTTTTATTTAAAGCTCAAGTATAAAGATCCACCACCATCTCCTTTGTTTTCCCTGCATTGATCAGGAGGTGGTGTTGCTGGCATCCGTCGACGAAGTCCTGCGTCAGTCCTCTGTACTCCCTATCATCGCCCCCTGCGATCAGTCCAGCAATTGCAGTCGTAATCTGAGAACTTCTGCAGGTTTTGAATAGCAACCCTTATCGTGGAATTTATACAGGAGACAGGAAGACATCAACACGTTTTGTTATCAGTGTGTCCCAGGGCAGCTGTGGCTACAATATTGCTCATTACCATCAGTGTGTGAATGACTGACTACAATGTAAAGCTGAAAGCTGCTATACAACTGCGGGTATTGTTTGTCATTGTGGAATCCCCTACATGTAAATGAAGTCCACCAAGTAGCTTATCCATAACATGGAAAACAGTTGATTGAGTCATCATGTCTTCTTTATTTTTAGGTATGATTGATAAAACAAATATTCTACAAAATAAAAGGATGTGAAAGTAGAAGGCAACTGCATCTTTTCCTTAACTTTATGTTTTCTCTCAGTGTTTTTCTCCAACAGAAGCTCCACCAGGTCAGATGTTCTGTTGGACTGTGATACCTTCCTGGAGGGGGTCATCAGCTGGCATACTACTGCCAACCACTTAACATGCTCCCTTTCCTGCTATCAACATTTTACCTTCTTTAACATAGAAAGTGCTACTACTAGTTCACCTGTTATTTTTTGTGTGTCTGCTCTGTCTCCTCAAACCCCCGTTCAGCCTTGGCAGATGGCTGCTCACACTGAGCCAGGGTCTTTGTGTTGAAGGGGAGTTTTCCTCTACACTGTTGCTACATTTAGAGTGAGGGATTACTGTAAAGTTGCTGAACCAACAGAGTGATGCTACAAGTCGAGAACTGGATACAGTTATTTTTAGAACCGGCCTGTGGGCACCCTAGGGTTCCTGAGGGCACCCTGGTGCCTGCATGAACCAGGTTGGGGGACCGCTGGTCTAATGAGTAAAGACAACTCAGACTGCATTTTTACTGCAAATAAAACCCTTCATAAGACTCTCTCCTGACTTGACAGATTCACGAGCGGTTGAGACGTTTTGAGGAATGGAGCCCTGTCCCTGTCCAGGAGCACGCAGCCAGTTTGGCCTCAGAAGTGTGTGACTCACTCCCAACATTTTTGTAGATAGGCAGACTGCTGCTGGTGACAGTTTGACAGGTGGAGAGAACAGAGAATTTTTTCTTTCTTTCAAATAGTTTCCTCAGCAGCATAAACAACGTCCTACGATGTGTGTTTCTTGTTGTCATTCCTGGATTCAGAAAAGTGACATCATTCCATCGCCTGATATTCTGTTGAAAAGATAAAGAACGGGATGACTAATGGCAACGTAGAGCTGAGAGCTGTTAACGTCTTTTAGTGCGTGATGATTCAGGATGTCAGGGTACAGCTCATTTCAGAGTCAAGATGAAGTGGCAGAGTAGACTCGACACCCACAACGGCTAAAACAGTCAACAACAGGCTCTCCTCAGATGTGCATTAAATGTCATTTGCTAGATCTCCTTTCTCTTTTTAAATCCTGCTTCTTCCTTTTTTCATTTTCTCATTACTTTGTTTTATCATCATCATCATCCACCTTTCATTTTCTAATTCCCTTCCCTCAATCCCAACCACTTCCCTCCTTGCTTTTAGCGTGAATGTTGTTGGCTTCACCAAAAAGCCTAAAGGTGGATGACAGTGCATATTCTAAACAGATTTTAATGAAACTTTCAGGAAGTAATCACTAGATTAAAGTTAACAACAAATTCACTTTTGGGCCCAATCCCGATACTCGCACTTCTACACTTGCGCCCTTCAATTGCGTGATCCCGGCTAGGGGTGCGATTGTGTAGGGTGTCCTGGTTCTCAAATGTGGAAGTCGATCACGTCCCTTTTGCACTCTTGATCCGCACTTCACCCAAGCTTGCATCGATGCGGACTTGGGTGAAGGGTACCCATGATCCGTTGCAGTGGGAGAAAAGGCTCAAGTGCCTTTTCTGAACATATATATTTTCAAATAAAAGTTGTCAATTTAAGGACGATTAATTGATGCTCTGGATGTTTTAGACGATGCAGCAATGAAAGCAAATGTATGTCAAATATACACTGCTCACAAAAATTAAAGGAACACTTTAAAGAAACACATTAGATACATCAGATCTCAACATGACGTTGGATATCTATACAAATAACGACAGGGCAATGTCTTAGGAACAAAAGGATGCCAAGTCTTTCCATGGAAATAAAAGTTATCAGCCTACAGAGGGCTCAATTGGGTAGACACCCTAAAATCGGAGTGAAATGAAGATGTGGCAGGCTAGTCCATTATTTCAAAAACTTAATTTCTGCAACTCAAATTGCTTTTCAGTATCTTGTGTGGCCCCCACGAGCTTGTGTGTATGGTTGAAGACGTCGGGGCATGCTCCTAATGAGACAACGGATGGTGTCTTGTGGCATTTCCTCCCAGAGCTGTGTGAGGGCATCCCTGAGCTCTTGTACAGTCTGAGGAGCAACCTGGCACCACCTAATGGACCGAACCATAATGTCCCACAGATGTTCTGTTGGGTTTAATTCAGGGGATCGTGAAGGGCATTCAATTGTTTCAATTCCTTCATCCTCCAGGTACTGTCTGCATACTCTTGCCACATGAGGCCGGGCGTTGCCGTGCATTAGGAGAAAACCAGGACCTACTGCATCAGCGTAGGGTCTGACAACGGGTTCAAGGATTTCATCTCGATACCTTATGGCAGTCAGAGCACCAATTCCTAGGCAGTAGAGGTCTTTGCGTCCCTCCATGAATATGCCTCCCCAGACCATCACTGACCCACCACCAATCCTGTCATGTTGAACGACGATGCAGGCAGCATAACGTTCTCCTTGTCTTCTCCAGACTCTTTCACGTCTATCACAGGTGCTCAGGGTGGACCTGCTCTCATCTATAAAAAGTACAGGGCGCCAGTGGCGGACTTGCCAATTCTGGTGTTCTTGAGCAAATGCCAGTCGAGCTCTACGGTGCTGGGCGGTGAGCACAGGGCCCACTACAGGACGTCGGGCCCTCAGGCCATCTTCATGAAGTCTGTTCCTGATTGTTTGGGTAGAGGCATTCACACCAGTGGCCCTCTGGAGGTCATTCTGTAGGGCACGAGCGGTGCTCACCCTGTTCCGCCTTGCACAAAGGAGCAGGTATCGGTCCTGCTGATGGGTTGTGGACCTTCTACGGCCCAGTCCAGCTCTCCGAGAATAACCACCAGTCTCCTGAAATCTCCTCCATGTTCTGGAGATTGTGCTGGGTAACACATTAAACCTTCTTGCTGCAGCACGTGTGGATGTGCCATCCTGGAGAAGTTGGGACAACCTGTGCAACTTCTGTAGGGTTGAGGAATCGCCTCATACTGCCAGCAGAGAGCCAAAACTAGCACGAGTGGAAAACCAGCCAAAAAAGATCAAGAGGGAGAAACTTGAAATGACCTCTACATGTTAAACCAGTGCTGTTTTGAGGGTTTTGTAATTGTTGCCACTTTAGTGTACCTGTCGTTAAGTCCATGAACACCAATACAGCTGAAAGTGATTAAAAATGCCCTCAGCTGCTTAATCAACCAGGAAATTATCAGACAGGTTTAATTGATTTCATGCCAGGCCCAATAAAAAGTGTTCCTTTAATTCTTGTGAGCAGTGTTTGGTTGTTTGTTTGAAAGTGGTCAATAAAGGTTTTTTTTTTCCAAAAACACAGCGACCAGCATCCTGGCATGCTTTGCTGTTGATGATGCAATGCTCCCTGGATCAATTTGGCAATTATTTGCACACTTGTGTACCACACACTCAAAGCCTTACTGCACACTTACACCAAGCGCACTTGACAGAATATTGGAAATTGGGATTGGGCCTTGGAGACAACCCAATTCAAGATGGCCACCACAGCAAATCAACAAAACTAAAACAAGCTAAATCTTAGATAACTTACTGAGTTGAAATTTTGTGTTTCAGCAGCATACTAATACTCATTCTTTGATCACTAAAGATCAGGTGAGACATCGTCATATTGCTTTTTTTTAAAGATTTCATGAAAACAGACATAACCCACTCTTAAGACTGTCAGACCTTTAATCCTTTTCCCTTTCCCCTATTTTGTCTTCTCTCTTTCACCTCATGTACAGGACCGTCTGCCATGTTTCCATTCTGTTTCTCTTTCCTGCACTAATTACTCATCTCCTTCCTTTCAGACCCATTACTTTTGATTTGGTTCGACAGCCAGTTGGCTTTAATCATCAGAGCTGACGAGGAGGGCCAAACTGTGGTTCTGGTTCCTCTCCGAGAATCTTCTGTTTGCTCACTGGAAAATAATGCCCTTCATGCTTTGTGTCTCTGGAGCGTGCCACTTAGAGCAGCAATGTCCTGGACACGACAGCCCGCGGTGCCTCTCTGACCACTGCTGACCTTCTAAGCTAGTCTGTTCTCACTGTCACCACGTCTTTTGGTGTAAAACATCTGAAAATGTTAAACAAGGAACATAAACAAGTACAGTTAAAATGAGAGCGTTTAAACATGCAGCTCATCATTAAAATATAATAAGCTCTTTCATTTTGGGTTAGCTTAAAAAATCCTCTCTAATAATTTTAAACACTGAAACATTTCAATTGTTTGTGTTTTCAGTTGGCAGAGGAGCTCCTTAACCAAGGCTGGAGAGAGGAAGTCAAAAATCTGTTTGCCCTCATTTCCAAACCCCACTTCAAGGTGATTCGTTTTCTTTCCTACACTGATGTGTCGACTTTCTGCATTGGGTTAAAGCTTCTTCAGCCAAGCCTTCGATCTAGTCATGTCACACCCAGGGGCGGCGTTAGACCCGGCTACTTGGGCTCAAGCCCAGAATGTTTTATGAAAAGTCCCAGATCTAAAACGTGGAAGTAACATGTAGTACCAAAGTCCAACAGAGAGGGAGCAGCTGGCAGTAGTTTGTATACAGCCTGCTTGAGCCTCCACCACTGAAGAAGAAGCCCTTCAGCAGCCGGCTTCTTCTGCACTCTCTGCCTGAAACGCATGAGTGAAGATGGACATAAGGACGTTTTTTAGACCAAAAGTACGGTGACAGAACCCCAGCTTTAATGAGACTGGTGCTGACTCAGGTTTGTGAGTCTTATTTGAAAATATTTGTTGTGCTGCTAGTTTGCCTAAAGTTAGCTTACTATCAGGTAAAGTTGTTGGAGAAAGAAAGGGAATATTTACTATCATCTCACACTAAACACTAACAGGAACAATACTCTGCCCTGAATATGCTTAATATGTAGCTTCAGATTAAAAATTATGTGGTACAAGACATAGATGTTGACTAGTGCGTGTCACGTGTGTGTGTGTGCGCGTGAGCACGTGCGTGTGTGTGTGTGTTAAGCCCCGGATCTTCTTCAGTCCTAAATCCGCCCCTGGTCACACCAAGCATTAACTAAATTAAATTTGACATAAATGAAGTGGCACAAGCATGGAGGCTAAAAATGGAGCAAATCAGCTACTTGACCTAATTTAATATAAAACGTGGCTTATTATTAACGCTGAGTGTTGTGTTTGCACTGAGCAAAGCTAGCTTTAACAAACTACTATAGTCAGAACACTTTAGTTCAAGAATTGATTGTAGTTAGTTGTTTGTCATTTTTGAGTTGTTTTTGTCTAGTTGACCTGCTGGGAGGATATAAAGACTCTGATTGGTAGTTTTATTTCTGTTCTTTAAAGTAAAACTCATATCCAAACAACGCTCAGCTTAATGCATCATACAGTTTAGGTACATATGCTCTAAAGAACACAGGAATGAAGAAAAGTCTCGAGACAATCCTCATTCTGCTGCCACTCACTAGCTCCTCCCTCTCCCTGTGAAGTGGGATTATTTTTTAAAACGATGTGAAGATCAGTCACTTGTGAAAAAAAAAAATTAAACCTGCATCTTTAAGTGTGGCCTGGTGCAAGAACTGGACCAGCACTGCAGACATTTTAAACCTAACCCTTCTAAATTAGTGTGCCTGAGTCAAAAAATGTGACACTACTTAGGAAAGGGCCGGTGATGAAATTGCAACTGAAAAGGGGTAAACTGCAAACACATTTTTGATGCATAATTAACACACTATGGCTGAATAACAAAATGTGTGCTACTTTTTTGCAATGATTTCATATGCCTCACGCATGGATGTAATTTTCACTTTAGAAGTGGGGGGGGGGGCATGGGGGGGGTATCTTTACAGTATGTTCTAATGGGAAACAGGCTTCAACACAAACGGTTGTTTTCCGCTTGGTCCTAGAGCTCAACCAGTGTCAGTTTAATATAGTGTAATATTGTTTTTGGATGCTAAAAAGTGCAGGGTTCAAAACTTGTCTTTGGAAAAAGTGGGAGGGGGGGACATGCCCCCCCCCCCCAAAAAAAAATTACGTCCATGGCCTCACGTGACCCAGATACATGCACCAAATCAGTGACTCCTTTTAAAATTTGACAAATTGTGTCCAACTAGTCACAAACAGTCACAGCGCAATGTGATATGAGAAAAGCATTAGGAACTACGAATCAGGATTGTTTTTAAAAGTTACAAGAAAACTTATTTGATGGCAAAATTGACCAACCAGCTCAAATTTCATCTTCACAATCCCTACATGCTCCTTTTCAGTGTTAGAGCAAATATTTAAACGTTCAGCAGGTTTAATTAACTTGCAACTATTTCACATCTGATTCTAATTATTCTCACTTTATAATCTAGAGGAACACGGAGACCCCAAAATGGTATTTCATGGCTTACTGACACCTGATTTATTGATTAAAAGGTTGCTTTTGCTGCCATGTTTAATTTGAAAATGTTTGGGTAAATGAACACTGGCATTAAAAAGATAGTCTGAGTCCCATAAAGTGACAAACTAATGCAGCTAACTGCAGTTAAACTGATCTGAATCCTTCCCCCTGACAGGCGCTGACATCTTTTTACCTCACTGAAGCTAACGTTCACCCGGAGATGCCTGTGTTTCATGTTTCTCTGCCAGCAAGTCACAGTTTGTTTAAACAGTTTTAATGACCTGTTTGTTCTTGGCCACAGAGCGGGAGCTCACACATGCTTATGAGACATGCTGGGTATAATATCATGCATCTGTTTTTGCGCCTCTGAGAGTAGCCAGAGATGCATTGCTCACACACTGGCATCTTCTGAAATGTTAAACTGCTGACGGACACGGAAATATGACGAGTAGACCGACTGACATATGGACTGGCTGATTGTTAAGTTTAATACAATAAAGAATATTTTATACAGGGTAACAAAAATGATCCTGAATACTCAACATTATATCCTGTTGGATCTCCCTGAGTTTTTGAAAGCCACTTCAAGGTTGTTGTCTTACCTATCACTTGATCTCATGTTTACTCGCCTTCAAACTTAAAGGGACTTTACGGACTTTTTAATTTTTATGCTCGCGATTGCCCCCTCAGGCCAAAAGTGTAACGGCAGCTTCAATAGTAGGCTCGTGCACGAGGCGCGCATGCTGTACGTGCACACTCCTTAACTAAAATAACAGCTGAGACAGTCCCTTGTGTGTGTGTGTGTGTGTGTGTGTGTGTGTGTGTGTGGGCCAGATGACAGAGGACATGCTCAGATCATTCCCTTCCTTTTCTTGAAAAATTGTTCCAAAATGAAAATCTGAAATCTTTTTTATATGTGAGTTCAATGCCGTTCGGCGAGTCTCAAATAAAAATGTGGGCATCTCACTGTAAAAAAAGATACCATTAATGTAAAAAATAAACTCTAATTAAACTATATTCGCACGTGGAATTGAACCCAGAGTTTCAGCATGAGTCCGACATCTTACTAGGTGAGCTAAAGGCACCAGTGGTGTCTATGGTATCTGTAACATTTTATTCCTTGATGACAGCTGAAACAACGTTCAAAGAACGGTTCGGAGCAAAAATGGCTATTTTGTTGCTAATTTGCAGGAAGTATCTAGAAGAAAGTAGCTAAGGGTCCTCAGAAATGTAGCTAGGTTTGTCACTAGGCGTTAGGAACAGCGACAAAGTCGTTGAGTTGGCACTGCCTCTCTCTCTGCTGCTAAAGCTACGGATAGCAAATGCTACGAGCTATGCCTGAGCGTGAACGCGCATGAAGCAGCCTGCTCGACCCGAGCATCTCTCTTTTTCTGTGATTTTACAGAAAAACAGGCAATCACAGTAAAAATGCCAGGGCTCATTCTACAGGACCAGGGCATTGCAGGAGAATGTATGAAGAAGACATTTATTATTTCTATACATGTTTTGGCTGTCAAACTTCCATAATGCCCCTTTAAAGGGGACATATTTTGCAAAACAAATTTTCATCTTTTATGCCTCCATGTGGACCTCAACTGCCTCTATAAACACATCAAACATGAGTAAAAGCCATCCATCCATTGTCAGTGATTGGTTTCAGGAATAATCTGCCTAAAATGAGCCATTTTTGAAAAGTGCCTTATTGTGGTGTAATAATACCTGTTGATGCTGGGCTACTCTACTCCAAGCCCCTTCCAGATAACCAAGCTTCTCACCTCATGGCAATCATTTGGGGATGGGTGGGCGTTCCTTAAAGTGACAAAGCCCTGAAATGGCTCATGGAAGTTAATAAAAACATCAAGGATAAATGTGCTGAAACCACCTTACATTAGAGGGATTTTGTGTAAAGAACTTCATCAAATGTCTTTTATAGATCGTAACTTTTAAAAAGTCATAATATGTCCCCTTTAAACATTAGCTGTGTAATTTTAATGATCTGAGGACTCAAATAAATGGTTTCAACCCCATGGACTCATAGGACTACAGTGTTTGAGGTGCGATAACAAATGCAGGTTGAATTTCCTTTGCAGAACTTCCTGCACGTCCATGACGCCGTGGCTCAGAGAGACTTTGAGCCAGTGCTGCCACCCGTCCCTGATGATGCGCTGGAGGACGAGGAAGATTCAGTCAAAATTGTCAGCCTGGTGAAAACCATAGAGCCACTGGTTAGTTTTTACTTTTCTGTCCAATTAACAGCAAACCATGCAGGTGGGTAGAAATATAAATACATATATATCTAAAAAGTTATGGTAACTTTGGTTTCAAGTAGTGGTTTTCAATCATTTTCTGTCACGGCCCCCTAAGGAACATACATTCTTTTTTTGTTTTGATTCTGTTTAGCATGCTAAGCTAACATCCCGCTAGCCGTCGTTCCTCTTGTTTGTTTGATTTTCATGCCATTTTAGTCAATGACTGGTCACCAGGTTCAGCTACAATCTCTTACACTGAGGCGAGACATGCTAGATGCTAGAATAATAACATAATGTTTACATGTAATCCTACTTTGGAACAACATTAGTATCTATAAATTCACTATTGTATTAAGAAAAACACCTTGAGTTTACACCCTTGCAGTGGCGGTTTTACCATTAGGCATAGGTCGGCCTGGGGCCCCCTTAAGTTGGGGGGATGGGGGTGGGGGGTGGGGGGCTAGCCCTGACCGCTGGCACCCCTCTGTTAATGCCAATATGGACTATTCCTTTAAGATGCTGATGCACAAACAGGAAGTGATTGGTAGTCATTCCACTCCAATCCAGGTGGTGGCAGGAATGCACCATATTGTTGTTTGCCAAGTGCCATAAGACCACAAATGAGAAGAAGAAGAGAATGCAGAAAGAGAAGAAGAGAGGCGGGAGCGTTCGTAACAAACTCGAAGCAGTAGTCAAAACATTACATTTGAAATTGAGTTATCCCAGTGGCTCCAATAAGAGAAAGAAGCAGCTTGCTTTAAAAAAGCTTTTATCTTCACTTCCAAAAGTGACGTTGTTTTTCAATGTAAACATCAGATGGAAGCAGAAAAGGAAAGACAATAGAAAATGTTTTAGAGTGAGGAAAACATAGACCAAAATGGAAAATAAAAGAAAAAAAGAAAGGCTAAAGTAAAGCAGAGCAAATATTGAAGACGCTCAAAGGGAGAGAAAGACAGGAAAAAAGAGGAGGACTAATAAAAAGTGAAAATAACTCATGTCAGAAGAGGGGAGAGTTTTGCAAATCCAGTTAACGATAAGATTGTCGAAAATTTAGTGTAAGGGGGCCCGATGTCTGTGTGCACCTTGGGGCCCCAAATTGCTAAATCCACCACTGCACCCTTGTCTGTTAGTGCAGCCAAACATGCAGCAAACTTTTTACATTTTACTGTAAATCAACAAAAGAAAAAAGATAAAGCTACAAACTGGCTTGTTATGACTAGCTTCGCAGAAGTTTCTAAATGCGTCAAGTTTTTCTGCCGTCCATCCCGGCCAAGGGGACAGTCCTGTGAGGAGGCTGCTTCTGTTGGATTGAACAACCAGCCTGTTGATTAGTTTGAGCACTGCTGCCATCTAGTGACTGGAGGCTAGCTTAGCATCCAAGCATGAACAAAGACTCTAGTGGATCATCATGCCTCCCACGCACGATTCTAGAAGTTATAAATAATCATTAACTCATCTGGCATAGACACTTTTCAGCATCAGCTTGGAGAAACTGAAGTTACATCCAATGGGACTGATGAGCTAGTCCAGTACAATCCTAAAAAGCCTGCTGTATCCAGTCCTACGCAGGTCTTCTGCCCTCTGATGGAGGATCGCAGCATGACAACTGCTTTTTTAATTTCTTTTTATTGGTACCTTGTGTATACCATATAAATGGCAGAGGCATCTATTATTATTCACCTCTAAAGCAGTCTCTTCATTTATTATTCCTCCGCCTACATATAGAGGCATACAGAGGCTGAGTCCGGGGAGGTGAGCTATTTCTTCATTTGGTGTTTTGAGATGCCATGTTAACGTAGGCCTAGAAGTCAAAAAGCTATGTATTTATTTATTTACTTGTTGTTTTAATGCTGCATAATGGTGAGTTATGGTGTGACTACAAGAAACAAGAAAGAAGCCACATGAAAAGGAGAAGATTCCTGCAGTAGCAGTGTCCTATTTGCATTTGCACTCTAACTTTATTTTAGTCGTTCTTTTTGCTACGTGTCTGTCCACTAGTACACTTCCCACTGCTTTGTCTTTCAGTGGGTTTATCGTGAGTTACTGCAGAATGCTGCTTTCTTTTGGCATCTTGAAAGCACATGCCATAGAGACTGATTCAATTGATGTTCCATTCCTAAAGCACAGTGTGATGTTTCAAGGCCTTTCATCGTAACTCATTTTCTCAATACTGCTTTAATAATCTGCCTTATTTCTTGCTCCACACAGGCTGTCAAGTATAAATTAGGCTTAATGGGCAGCTGTTGCAAGGTCTTAAGCCTAATTCATACTTCTCCGTCTGCTCCATGAGGGAGAGACGCACGCACAGACAGAGACTGTGACTTCTCTGTCTCCTGGGTAGTGCTGCAAAGCAATTCCCCGCCAGGACAACGGAGGGCGTAGCTCTGCTCTGTGGTATCCTGTCATGTATCCGGTCCAAGTTAGTGCATTTACTATCGTGTTTATGTTGTGTTTTTTGGTGTTGCATGTCTCCACCCCGATGCAGACGGAGAAGTATAAATTAGGTTTTACTGCAACACAAAAATACGTCTTGCTTGCAAAGATGTAGGTATCTACTGCCCCCTATCGCCAGGGAAAATTCACAGTGTCACTTTACAGTTTTTCTCAGTTGCTTTGGTGCGTTTCTCAGAACACTATTAACATTTGCACAGCAGTTAGTGCATTTCTCAAAACAATTAGTGCAAACTGCAAAACCTAGTGGATAGCCTGCAAAAGCACGTCACATGCTCAAAATTGATAATCCATTCCTCAAAAGCAAGTATTCATGTCAATGAAACTGTCAGTGCCATCAAAATGAAAAGTCTTGACACCATCTTTATGAACAAGATAGTCAAATGGCTTTGTCATGTTTTCACTATGACAGGTTATAATTTCAGTGTTTTCCATTGCAAGAATATTTGGTGACACCTGAAAATGCTCAAGACAGCACTATGTCCTACTTGTACAGCCATTTGAAATGTGCAGTAAAGTTACTGCAGATGTTATGGGAGTTTTGGGAGTAACTGAGACACTGAATACGTACGTTTGACATTTTTACTGTATAGAAGTGTTTGTAATTCTACAGCATTGTGCAAAAGAAAATATGCTACAGTCACTTGTTTACTGTAGAATACATGTAAACAAAAAAATCACCCTTTTGGTAGAGCTGTGCACAAATGTGAACAATATACAGTACATGTAACAGTACATACAGTATTGCACAGTACTGTAACATACAGGTACAGTAAATCATTCTGGCACATCCAGACGTTTCTGTCTGCCTGGCCACATATTTTCATCTACATCACAACGGATGTCATCCCTCGCAATGCAGGGAGGAAAGTGTCTCCTGGAGTGGAGAAGTATACAGAAGTATAGAAATGGTACACACTAGCTCCTGCTCAGTTCATATATGCTTGCCAATTGAGGATTCACCTCCTCATGAGTGACAGCTGAAATTCACCTGTGGTCAATTGTTCAATTTAGGAGACATTTCCAGGAAAAAATGATAAAGAAAGGTATAGAATTTGCTTGACAGATGACTGATATTTGACATTTGATAACTAGTTCAACAATTTTGTGTGTAATGACTCAAGTAATGAAAGTAAGACTATTAGTTTTATTGAGAGTGACTATTCAGCATCCATAAGTATAATTCATTTTGACTGACATGACATAAGCAAATGGAAATGTCAAAAAACAGCAGAGAAATGTAGCAACTGATACATGTCCAAAATCATTTGCAGTTTGTTCAGAGAAAGGAGAAATTGCTACTATGATGTGCACAAATGACTAAATGTTGTGGAGGTTGAACTAATAGTTATGAGAATTTTAATTCTGATCTGAGAAACGCACCAAAGCGACTGAGAAAAACTGTAAGCCTCCAAAAGGCACTTTAGTTACGGTGGACATACATTTGTATTCACCTCAAACCCATGGAAGTGGTCTGACCTTATACTCTGACATGACCTGTTTGGTCAATCCAAAATGTTCCTATTTTTCTGACAACGGGGTTATACCCCAACATCATCAGCTGTTTGTATTTTTCTTTGGACCACATCGGCATCATCTTTTGTACATAATGCCGATTTTTGGATAACACTTCCCAGCTCTTTGTAGAGGAAGGTTTTCAAATTGTTGAGATATAAAACATCACTAACAAGAAAGAGCTGTAAATGAGCATCTCACCTGGGTTTTAATGGAGTTTTTTATGCTCTGTAGTTTGATCCGTTTGCCTTTTCTGCTTTTTTTTAATGACTTATTTAATCAGGGGGCTACAATAAAGACAGACACATCCACTGGAGCTATTGTGGTGGCGAGGATCATGAGAGGAGGAGCGGCTGATAAAAGTGGTATGTGGTATCTATGTTTATACAAGGAGCAACTCATGGACTGAGTGAAACAAGAGACATTCGTCTTCTCGGAAGGTCTGATCCATGAAGGAGATGAGCTGAAGGAGGTGAATGGAGTTTCTCTGGAACGCAGAAAACCAAAGGAGATCCTTCCTCTTCTGGTCAGACTCTGCATTTCCTCAAATGTTTCTGCTGTCAGAAATAGTCAGAGCCATTAATGTGGTTGCAAAGTTCAGTTATTCGAATTTCTAATGCAGCGACAGAAAACAAGGCCAGAAAATAATCAGGTCATCCCTGCAGAGTGAATTAAACTCACCCACTTTCCATGAAACGTTAAAAGGAAAACCACAGCAAGAATTTGGAAAGAGGTTTTTGAGTCAAATTAAACTGGATGAATTGGATTTACCTTTTGTGATTATCCAATAATATGACCGAGAAGCCCTCTGGATGTTGAGAATGGGCGTGTTTCCACTACAAGAACTTCAGGGTAGATTTACAGGAACCTCCCGACATGCGCGTGTCTCCACCTGACCGGGCTGTCTGAACGGCCGTTTTCAGGAACCTGCTCTGGAGTAGGTACTCCGAACGGCCTGGTGGAGTAGCTGAGCGGAACCTCCGGTTAACTCACACCGACTGGTTGTAAATCAGTAGGAAATGACATCAGCAGACGTCCAAAACAATTGACAGCAGTAAAATTAGAAGAGTTGCTGGTGAGACAGAATGGAAGCAAGAACAAATAAGGACCGATCCGACATAGGCCATCGCCCCAAGCTTCCCGAACGGCATTCGCCCATCCCTTAGGACCGACTGCCGTTCACATGGAACCCTTCTCCACTTCGGCCTTCAAAGTTCTCGTTTGAATATTTGCTACTACCACCAAGATCTGCAACCGCGGCAGCTCCACCCGGGCTCGCGCCCTAGGCTTCCGTGCTCACTGCGGCGGCCTTCCTACTTTTTCGCAGCTTAGCCCTCGCGGCTCCTGCTGCCGACGACGGCCGGGTATGGGCCCAACGCTCCAGCGCCATCCATTTTCAGGGCTAGTTGATTCGGCACGTGAGTTGTTACACACTCCTTAGCGGATTCCGACTTCCATGGCCACCGTCCTGCTGTCTATATCAACCAACACCTTTTCTGGGGTCTGAAGAGCGTCGGCATCGGGTGCCTTAACCCGGCGTTCATTTAAAATCTAACTCCCAACACCGGAGAACTCGGTGGAATTCCCCCACAGACTTCATTAACGGGGCTTGTCTCACAAAACTCAGAGCTGCTCTTGTCCTCTGAATGGATACAATTATGATATACTTCTATAAAATAAATGCCTGTAACATTATACTTTGGGCGCTTTTTGGGGCTGATCAGTGACATCACTCTCTGCCGGAGCAGTCGTGATATGCTGCCGTGTGTGAAAGTTCTGAAAGGGCTTAATTTGAATGGAGACACAACAGCTGAGAGGACTGGGACATCCTACCTCCTGGTCAAGTTCCTCATCCCAGGAACTACCCTGGAGTTCTGATGCTGGAAACATGCCTAACGAGGCTCCAGGTCACTTTGGCATAGTCCACACGTAGCCGGGGTTTTTTGAAAACGAATATCCGCCCTTGCAAAAACTTGCATCCACACCACCTCGTTTTAAAACAAACTCTGTCCACACGTACCCAGATAAATACGTTGTTAAGGACATGCCAGACCTGTAGGCGGCAGTACTTCCCCCGTTCTTAACCTCGTCCTTCGTCTGTGGTCTTCCACAAGGAGCAGTAATTCCTCTTGCAAGTACAAACAAGCAAAAAGCGCTTGGACAATTGATAAAGCGAGCGCAGCTCTGAGGGCATCCATGCTGTTGGCTAGTGTAAACACAGGTCGCACACGTGATGTCAGCATTTTTTTGTCGCGGAAAGTGACGTTGCGGACCTTAAAACTCCGGTTTTGTCCGTCCACACGCAGACACCCAAAACGGAGAAAACGCAGATCTTCACTTTGGCCGGAGTTTTTAAAACGATCCGTTTTCGTGTGAAAAAACTCCATTTTCGTGTGGATGACAGGCCAAAACGTAGAAAAATATCTACGTTTTGGCAGATCCCCGGCTACGTGTGGACAGGGCCTTTGTCTCCTGCCATCTTTTGTATCATTAAAGAAAAAAGAACCGAGCACCCCAAACTTTTATAGAGATGTCATATTTAATTTATTGAGTTCTTACATAATTGTGGAAACCTTTTGAAGAGATTTGTTTCACTAACGTTGTTTCAGAAAGATTTAATGTTCACTACTAAAGAGTCACGCGTGTAGTTCTTAAATGACATAAACAGGTAAAATTGTTGTGGTGTTTCATCAGAAAACAACAATTGAAACCAGGATTCCTGCTTTCTTACAGCTTTGTTCCGAGGGTGATGTTAAATTCAAAATAATTCCTGGATCGTCTAAGGAGGACAGGAACACAGCAAAGGTAAGTATTGCTGTCTGTTTATGTTTGTTGTGTTTGTCATACACGCAGTGTGGCTGCATCATCAACACATCATAACACAGACACAGAGACATAAGTTAAAAGCACCCCCTAGTGCCTGGTTCCAGTACTTGCTTTAAGCGCCACCCCCTCCTAATAAATAAATAGGCTACTCTCCTAAATTTAAAAATAAAAATGCCTTAGATAATTTTTCCCCAGTAGTTGTTATTTGTTAATAATCTCTCTAATGTCTAGTGTTTAGTTAAACCTAGTTTTTTTTATACCGAAATGGTCTTGTCGATCTTGCAAACCAGACTTTTGTTTTTTCTCAGGTGTTCATGCGGGCTTTGTTTGACTACAATCCCATGGATGATCCTACAGTCCCTTGTAAAGATGCTGCCATGGCCTTTAAATGGGGCGATATTCTTCAGGTTGTCAGCATGGAAGACGACACCTGGTGGCAGGCCCGTCACCATGGAGATGGCAGCAGCTGGGCAAGTCTCATCCCCTCAAAGCAACTGCATGAAAAGTGATACATTCATGTTCAGTCCAACATTTAAGCCAAACTTTGCAGAAAATATTTAAAACATCCTCACCTGTTTTATTTTTTAATTTTATTTCCACAGAAGAATTGTACTACAGCGACCCAAAGCTCTGTTCAAGCCTCGGCGTGTCAGCCCTCCAGGTGCTAAAAGCTTCCCAACAAACCCATTAGAGCCTCTTTAGTAGGGGTCATAGGTCAGCTATGCTGCCCTCCACTTCAGCTGACTTCTTTTGTTTTAACCACATGCACCACAGATGATGATGATGATGATGATGATGATGAAGGTATTGTTTAGTCTTCATTTGCTTTTACAAACCTGATTTATCACAACTGTTTCTATGATTTAGATTCAAGAAATGAATCTGTGAAATGTTTGCTTACCCTAAATTCCTTTTTGTTAAACATTTCTAAAAACAGACAGCTGTATCAGCTTCCTCCTTGTTGTAACCAAGCTGGTTTAAAGTACCTAAGACCTAATTGGCCTTCAGCAAAGTATTTATGCATTTCAGACACTTAGCTGATTTTAAAATAGTAAAAAGAAAAGACACACCGTTGCCATTTTAAAACAATAACAAAATAACGTGTTGATAAAGTGAATTTCTAAGCCACACATTACATTTTTTGAGAGTTTTATCCACAATATTCTGACCTTTTCTTTGCATCTTTTAGTTCCTCCAGTGACAGAGCAAGCAGACTATGGAGCTATAACTGGGATCCACATAGGTGAGAACTGGAAACCCTCTTATACTGGAAAAGGGACCAGTATGAATCACACCAACTAGAGGGAACTAAGCAGATCAGAATGAGATGCTTTATTTCTAAAATGTTAATCTGTGCACACAACTACATGTAGCTACGAAATTTGCATACTGAATTGTAAGCAACTGCACTGTGAGAAACTGACATGGCAGAGAAGTTAAAGGTCAACTTCACTGAAAAACCATCCATCCATTTTCAGCCGCTCATCCGGGTTCGGGTTGCGGGGGCAGTAGCCTAAGCAGGGAGGCCCAGAGTTCCCTCTCTCCAGCCACTTGGGCCGGCTCCTCCAGGGGAATCCTAAGGCCTTCCCTGGCCAGCAGTGAGACACAATAATATAATAATAATACATTTACCGTAAATTCTCTAATACAGGCCCGGGCCTGTATTTTACTCAAGCTCATCAAGCTCCAGGCCTTTGTTGGAAAGAGGGCCAGAATTAGAGGCAGGCCTCAATTTCTATTAGAGCAAAATGAACTGCCAGTAGAATGAATAAAAACGGGGTGTGTCTATTTGAACCTATAAAATACTTGGCTCATTTATTGAAAATGTACAGTTACCATAAGGTGGTACGGTTTGCATATGAAACATTAACAACAAGGCTAAATTACAGTAGGGAAATACTGTATTGTAACAAAACAATAGCAAATATACCTGTACTGCTTTTTAAACGTTATTAAAAACCAGTATTAGAAAAGACAACAGCTTCAAAGTTGTATCGTTTCGTCTCGTTTGGGTTGTAGTAAAAAATAAAATAAAAACCCGCAAATTCAATTCAATCTTTGTCCAGTTTAAAGTAAAAATAAATAAATACCAGTAATCCAGTTCAGTTTAATCCTCATCCAGTTTGATGGGTCGATGTTAAAACGTTTAGCAGCTTGCTCCCCAGAGTGTTCTGCAGCATATTTCAGCACGTTCTTTTTGAACTTGATATAAAATTTTCGCCTCCTCTTCGGCTCCGCACCTGCCATGGTTAAAGTTACCCTCGCGTTCTATCACTGGCAAATCAAAAGTGAGACGGATGACACAACCGCTCCCCGGTGGTACTTGCTTGTCACCACATTCCACCCATCCACAATAAAAAAAACGGCCATTATTCACCTCCGCCGACTCCGACACCGGCCAAAATGTGATACCCGGCCGTTAACTGAATACAGGCCAATATTAGAGGATTTACGGTAATTTCAGGCGCCTTTCAAACACCCAGGGTCACCGTACAATTAAAATTCATAGTAGAAACCACAAGACACACTAAAACCAAAAAATTAAAACAACCATCATAAAACAACCAGAATACAACAACCAAAAGTAATGAAGGTCCAGTAAAGCTACACTAAAAAGACCCAATGAAACTGTTAAATTAACAGCTATGAACCAACTAAAATAAAACAACTGGGTAACCTAGGAGTCCTTACACAGACATATAGTCCCTCCAGCGTGTCCTGGGTCTACCTTTAGGTCTCCTCCCGGTTGGACGTGCACAGAAAACCTCAACAGGGAGGCGTCCAGGAGGCGTCCTGACCAGATGCCCGAGCCACCTCAACTGGTTCCTCTCGATGTGGAGGAGCAGCAGGTCTACTCTGAGCCCCTCCCGGATGACCGAGCTTCTCACCCTTTCTCTAAGGAAGAGCCCAGCCACTCTGCAGAGAAATCCGCAATCTCATTCTTTCGGTCACCACCCAAAGCTCGTGACCATAAGTGAGGGTAGGAACGAAGATCAACCAGTAAATCAATAGCTTTGCCTTCTGGGGAAAAAAATGAAACATTTTTTAATTTATTATTTCTGATTATAATCAGCCACTGAGTTTGTCATGAAGGCTGAACCCCTATCTCCTGCATTAGCTTCTGATATGAAAAGGCTGACGGATCTACATCCCACTGTCACTCAACATTCCACCCATCTTGACTCACGACAGGGAAAGCTGTTGTTGGTTTAGCGTTCGGAAACGTCTCGACTAGTAGAAGCTAACCGTTAGCCTTAGCAACTCCACCACACAGCAGAACTCCTTTAGGCACGTGTTATTTGTAGAGATTAAACATCAACGTTGCAAAGCAAACACAGTCAGTGGTAGAGTCGCGCTGCTGTTATCCAGTCCTAGGTGGGATGTCCCAATATCAGGAAATAAGACTCCAAATCCTGCCGTCTTTTTTTTTCAACTCTGATGCGGCTTGCTTCCTGAAACAGATGCAATAGAGCTTTTCCCCCCAGAGTACAACTTACAAGGCATTCATTTCTACTGGAGACCACTGCAAATGTATTAAAAACACTAGTAAAGTGGACTTTTACATCCAGGCTTGCAGGTTCAAGCACTGCTCAGCATGTTGCTGTTGTTGTGTTCCTGAGCAAGACACTTTACCCCCTTTGCCTGCTGGTGGTGGTCGGAGGGACCAGTGGCGCCAGTGCCCAGCAGTCTCGCTTCTGTCAGTGAGCCTCAGGGCAGCTGTGGCTATGCTGTAGTTTATCACCACCTGAGTGTGAATCAGGGGCGTGTCCAGGGAGTGGCCTGGGGTAGCACATGCCACCCTTATAATCTGATCGGCCACCCCAGGTGCCACCTGTTCCATTTCCAGTTTAAACTGACTTTAAATTGTCGACAAAAGGCTTGAGTTGTAAACTTCAAAAATAGTGTGTGGTAGCATGCACCTTTAACATTGTCTTCTAGCCCAGGCCTACAGAACATTTCTGTAGTATTAATATTATTTATTATTCTTTCATATTCACATCAATAGTATTTAGAGTCCCACTCAACTCCAGTTGGTGGCAATAATGCAACAAGTAGTGACTTGCTAACCACCACAAAACTAGAAGATGAATAGAAAAAAATGGTGATTGTGCAATGTGAAACTCCAAAATTCACTAGAAAGTAAATAAATAAATATACAATTTGTGTAAATAAATAAATAAGCATAACCATTGGTGCCACCCATGCATAAACAAGTGCCCCACATGGGCCACCCCATTTTAAAAGTCCTGGACACGGCTCTGGTGTGAATGTGTGTGGTGGATGAGTGTCTGACTGTGAACAAACCCCCTTGGGAGGGTCTAGGACTCCAGAAGGCTCTATATCAAATACAGGCCATTTACCATAACTAAATAAAATATCTACTATTTAAACAAACTTATGGTGACATTGATAGAAATTTAAAAAAAAAAGTCACGGCCACGCGTTAGTAACGCATTAGCATCGTAGTCCAGAAACCTGTGGATTTGTCCATCTTTTATAAAATCCCTGTTGTCTGAAGGTCCTGCTATTGTTTTGCAGCCTGTAGCTGAACTAAACTATAAGTCAGAATCATTTAAACGACTTTTTACTCTGATTAGTTTGTCTATGCTCATAAAGCTGACCTTTGCACTGCTGGATAAGACTCATTTGTGATCATTTGCTGAACTGGATGGGTTCGGTACTAGTTTATGAGTTGCTGTCATCTTTAAAAAAGGGAAGCAGCAAGAAGTGCCAGTAAAGAGGCAGAAAAGAATTTCTCTGGCAGAAATACTCAAAACTGATAAATAAACCTAAAACTCTTTTATATTTCTGAGTGAAATAACTTGATCACTAAGTGTCTCCTCCATAGTGAGACGGACCTCAGACTGCAGCCAACAAAGAAAATGTGTAGACATCCAAACAAAAACAAAAGGTCTGTAAAAGAGCCACGGATCCTGTAGTGGTTAGGATCATAAAAGAGCCTGCCAAGCAGAGCCAGACCACAGGCTGGATGTAAGGCAGCGCGACAAACAGAGGTACACAGTCATACCAGATGGCACTGTTCAGGCTGGAGTTTAACACCAACTAAAAATCTGATGATTGTAAATGGTGCAGTCTGTCATGTTTACACTCCACGGGAATACAAATCAGGAGCCCTCTACGCCTCGCCCACTGTTTTCACTACTTTGCTGGTAGGTGATTCAATAATCAGGAACGTCATGACGAGATGTTTTCCATCAGAGCTCTCCTGGATAAACTTCCTGGTCTGCTGGGCACCATCCCAGCTCAGTTAAAAGAGTGAACATTCATGAGGGATCAAACAATGTTACAGGCCGGTAGTCTGCCATCACACTAGAGCATTTTAACCATCTCTGACATTCTGAAGAGCAGCGGAATGTCTGTTTTCATCTCTGGCCCGATCCCCACAGTTTCTCAGGGATGTGAAAGTGTTAGCCTTCTGCTATCTCTCAACTTCTGGCTTCAGTCTGCTTGCAGGTCCCACAGTTTTGGCTTCATCAAAAATTTCAACCTGTTTTCGAACTGTTTCTCCTTTTTCAGATGAGATGGTATTCACCCAGCTCGATTGGGTTAAACATGCACATTTTTTCTTGCTGAATTTTTTTGCTCAAACAAGCAGAAAGTGCAACTGAAACTGATTGTAAACAAAGTGCTGCTGCATTTTAGCCTAGTGAACTAGACCAAATTCTTGCTTTGCAAAGTTTGGTCTAGGCATGCTCCATTGGAACCTCTGCAGCTCCTACCAGGACTCTGGCTAGCCAATCACAGCTCTCTAGAGGGGTTTCAAACACATAAAGAGCTGTGATTGGTCCATAATGGTGGGCCAATCATAGTGCTCTATCTGCTTAGTGAACAAATCACAGAGCTTTATCCGCTTTGTGGGCCAATCAGGGCACTCTATATGCCTGGTGGGTGGGATGATGCAACAGAGTGAAACAAGGGTACGTCACATTCATTGTCCAGTGGAATGCGGAGATCATTTGAAAGACAACGGTAGAACCCGCCCCACAACCGAGAGCCGTCATTGGAGCGTGGCCAGACTAAATAATACATTTATTTAGTCTGGCTTGCCAGGCTAGCTGCATTTAGCAGTACAAGATCAAACCCAGAATGAAGAATGATTTATGATTTTTGTCCATGTCGTGCCATTTTTGAGCTAAAATATCAAATACGCCCAAGTCATCATCAAGTCAACAGATGCTAGTCGATTCAAGTCGCAAGTCATTGGCGTTCCAGTCTGAGTCAAGTCGTAAATCTTTATAGATTTTATCAAGTCAAGTCAGAAGTCATAAAAATAATGACTCGAGTTTGACTCGAGTTGAAGACATGTGACTTGAGTCCACAGAGGCGGTTTTACCATTAGGCATAGGTCGGCGGCCGCCTGGGGCCCCCTTGTGTTGGGGGGCCCCCCTAGCCCTGACCGCCGGCACCCCTCTGTTAATGCCTCAATATTCTTATTACCAACCTGTGGCCGCAGATGGGATTGGACAAGCGCAATTCTCATTATCATAATTCCTGAACCCTTCAAGATATCATTAAAATTCCAAAAGTGCTGAAAAGATAAAAAATGGGGCTTTTCGTGCATATACAATACATTACGGTAGCCACCGGGATTCCCTGTCTTGAGCGCAACGAATCACAACACAGATTCAGAGACGTGCCGAGTTTGTCATCCAAAATGCTCCGTTTTATAACTGTTGAATGGCTGATCAGATCCAGGAAATTCCAACGGTTCCTAAAAGTACATAAAAGCAGCTTTCCAACGATTTATAGCGTGAAGCAATCAGAGTTATGGACAATATTGTTATGAGGGGAAATCCTGCTGTACAGCCTGATTGAAACGGAGCGCAGCGCCGCGGTGAAAGCGGATAACGGAACGGGGAAGCTAATTAGCATAAAAACCAGCATGAAATTATGGAAATGCCTCAAAGAAAATCAACACGATCCATTAGGTGTCCCAGAAGGCTTATATCTGAAGACAGTGACCACGAAGGACAGATCTCCAGTGAACCAGGATATGAACATTTGTTCAGTCTTTATATTTTATTTTTTTATTTGAACAACCTCCAACTATTTGCTAATTGTAAGATTCAGCTTCATTCCAGCATTATTTATCTTTTTACAATAAATAATTACTTTTGCTAAAACAAAAGTTTTTGGTATAGCAGTGCACGGAGTGCAAGAGCAGCACCCCATGGCAGTGTGAGTTTGATCTCGATAGGGGTGAGAAGAAGTTTGTTGTTGAAAGGGGCCGTCGTTAAGTTCCTTCTGTCCAATTCATTATTCAGCTCTTTTCTGAACACAGACTTATAGAGATTTGTTATTTACCTTTTGCCTTCTGTGGCCTTCTTCTAAGCGTTGCTGATTGGTGCCGATATAGCGTGTTTTTTTCTTCAGATTTGTTTATTGGTAGCGTCAAGCATAGCTACTTGGCAACTAAAAGTGGAAGCAACCAAAGTGAAATATACTTCATTGCCTAACTCCTGACATCTACTGTTAATAAAAGCCTCTTTCTCATTTCTTCCCAGGTAGGTAGTATTTTCAGTCTCAGGTGGTAGTTGGGTTTAAAGACCTGCACCACTGGTAGTTTATCCTATTCAGACAAACCGGGTTCATTATACTGTACATACTTTCAAGACTAGTTTTTAAGCTTTGTGGTTTGAAGCTCTCCTTTCTCTGTATTTTATTATTATTATTATTATTATTTCAGCTGGCTTAAGGTGGAGTTTTCGACTTGGAAAAAAAAGTAGCAACAGATCCAGAAAGAGAGGTCAAATTCGAAGGTGGAGCTACGAAGCATGCAGTAGAGTCTGCATCCCTACCTACATAGAGGTGATACCCTGCAGTAGTGAGCCAAAGGACAGAAGACATCTTGTTGTCCTGGCTGGTATGTATTTTAGTCTCTTACATCTCATCATCCCATTGTTTAAAGGTTTCTCAAGAACAAGTTTTTTTTCTATAATTGGAAGGAAAATGCCTTCATAAAGCCCAACAATTGAAAGGCTGGTTCTCCCTGCCCACTCAGCCTGGACATGAATTGTGCGGTTTGCTGATTGACCAGTCTGTCCTATTGACTCAATCGACTGATTTGTGTGTGTGTGTGTGTGTGTGTGTGTGTGTGTGTGTGTGTGTGTGTGTGTGTGTGTGTGTGTGTCTGTGTGTTGAAGGAACAATAATATGTATTAGATTAACACATCAAGACATTCAACAATATTTATTTAGATATACTTATTTTATTCTACTAAAACAAAACATTTGTAAAGGCAACAAACAAGTTTTTAAATGCATTCAGACCTTTGCAATGTTTGTTGCATTTTATTTAAATTTAACCGTGTTCCCTTTTTTAACCTTCCTCCCATCATCAACATTCTATAACTTCACTACCTGCACCTCTGCAGTGCAAGCTCCCTGTGTCACTCAGATCTTCATCTGAACTCAATTATAAAAACAGTGAACATGAATGATAGAATGGAGTAAACTTTATTAATCCCAAAGTGGGGAAATTCACTTGCTACAGCAGCCCATAGACTTAGAGAAAGGAAGATGATGTCACGATACGAGCAAGGAGGAGGTTAGGACCCAAAATGTAGTGATGTTACCTGTGACACGCAGGATTCGAAGCTTGTATCACCAAAACGAACCACCGCAGAGCAAAGCACTGTGTCGGAGCTTGATTTGTTTACTGAAAGTCACGTGACCAATGAGCAACGACGCTTCGATTCACCCTTCCACCCACGTGACCGCTTCACACAATGTTTCAAACATTTAAAGCAACGCAAACCAAGAGGCGCAGGTTTGTATGACCTGAGATCGACGGTTCAGGATTCAGTATTCAGTGATTAAACACTGAGTCGCAAAAATGGATCCTGTAGCAAAAAGAGGGCGTTCTGAGATGTGGGAATGTTTCAATTTAATCTCTCCAAATAAGGTTTGAAAATGTATATGGTCTAGTCTAGTAAATTACCTTTATAGTAGTAATACTTGGTGCATATTGTAGGGCTATATCTTTTAGACCGTCTGTCATTTTCCTTTAATTAAATTAAAATCTAGTTTGGTATGATTTTTCTTCTTTTATTGGTAATTAATATAATAGTTGATGAGCTTTTCAGTTTGGTTGTACGTGTAACGGAATTTAGTACGTCCAATCCTTATGTGAATTTTCTAATCTTCATTTTGTTACTCTATTTCTAAAAAAGATACATAAATTGAGCTAATTATTCCTGCCTAATAATCCAATAAAAATGTGAAAAGTAAAATATTTGAATATGTAGAGAATGTTAATATGTGTAAATTAGATATATTTCATCACGTATCCCATAAAAATAAACATTGTTTCATTTCAAGTATTCACACCAAGAAAATCAATTTTAGTATATTTAATGTAATGTTCAAATTCAAGACACTTTTATTATACGATTCTGAGGAAGCTTTTTAATGCTTTATTTGTCCATAAAGTTCAATACACCATTCATTTTCAGTAGAATTGGCTGACAATACAATGAAATACAAACATTTACCAGCAGATGTCCTCACAGAGTTTTGAAGCATCAAACCTTGAACCTTTTTTCAATACAATTGGATTGTAAAGCTTTGTTGGTTCAAAAGGCTTCACATCATCATCACTCCCAAAATGCAGAACCCAGGATGACAGACACGAGGCAGGGGTGGAAGATGAAATAAAATCCTTTATTTTGGGATAATCCAAAGGCAGGGAGCCAAAAACCAAAAATCCAAAATGACATAATAAGAGATCCAAAACACTAGAAGCTATAGACACAAGAAGCACTGGAAACACTAGAGATCAACGAGACGAGTATGACAGAAGCACAATGGACCGACAAACTTACAGAGACACAGACAGGTTTATATACACTGGGGAGGATGAGAGGGAGATGAACTGCAGGTGTGTGGGGAGAGAGAGAACAGGTGAACTCAATTACTAATCAGGGAGAGGGCAGTGAGTTGAGGAGGAAGAAAAATAACATGATCTACGACAGAACCTAAAAACAAGAAGAGCAAAATAACTAACTAACAATCTGGGGAAAGAAACACACCAAAAGAGACTAATAGATGAACAGATGAAACTAAAGGAAAACACTACAGAAAGAGACACTACAGGGGTGTGACTAAGGAGGACCACGGGGAGCACAGGACCTGGAGGGAGATACCTGGGGGGGAAGGAAACCTAGAGGGGCTGCAGCTCTGGGAACACATGAGGAAGACGTAGACAATGACACAAGAAGGCGCTAGGATACACAACAGGAGAACCTAGAGATGGATGGAGAACACAAGGAGACACATGAGGGAAGGGGCAGACGCAGATCATGACAGATGACAATAATAACAATATTACAGGTAAACACACAAAGGCAATAAGCTAATATTGTAGCATCCAACCACTAAAAACAACAAATAAAAAGGAAACTTGGGTGTCCCGAACTATGCACATCAGGTACTGAACAAGTATTGAACACATTCTGAATATTACATTGATGTAATTGTGAACCAGGATAATGCCAGTACCAGTTAAACTGAGAAGTTATACACTCTTCCTGCAGAGGGAATGATTGACCTATGGTAACGTTCTGTTTTACATCTGGGATGTCTCAGTCTGCCTTTGAAGGACCTGTCCAGGGTCTCCATGGTCTCCACAGTGGAGCGTAGTGGGTGGGAGGAGTTTTCCAAGAAGGAGATCATTTTCACTAGCATCCTTCTTTCACACATCTCCTCAAATGAATCTGGTTGGCAGCCCAGAGCCGAGCTAGCTTTGTTAACTAGCTTTGTTCAGTCTCTTCCTGTCTCGGTCAGAGCCGCCTGCACCCCAACAGCAGAGTGAGCAGAGCCAACAACAGAGTGATAAAAGGATTTTAGCAGATTGGAATTAACTCCAAAGGACCTCAGACTTCTCAGAATAAGCCACAGAAAATACTGATGGGAATGCTACAAACAAGCAAGCAGACCATATTCAGCAACACGTTAGTTTTGCTCACTTGAATGTATGCAACTCATTAAACTCCCCCTCACCTCACGTCAAGAGTCTGGGTGTCATTCTCGACAGCTCACTTTCTTTTCAGGCTCACATTAATAACTTAATTCGGTCAGCATACTTCCATCTACGTTCCATAAACCGTCTCCGTCCCACACTGACCCCTCACACTGCCGCCATTCTCGTCCACAGCCTCGTCACCTCCCGTATCGACTATTGCAATTCACTTCTTTATGGTCTTCCCAACAAACTCCTTCATAAACTGCAACTGGTCCAGAATTCAGCAGCCCGTATTATCACCAGAACCCCTTCCTTTCACCACATCACGCCGGTTCTCCAGCAGCTTCACTGGCTCCCAGTTAAATTCAGGTCCATCTTCAAAATTCTCCTCCATACCTTCAAAGCAATCCACAACCTCTCTCCTCCATATATCTCAGACCTTATAAGTATTCACACCCCGTCCCGTTCACTCAGATCTTCTTCTTCCATCCATCTTGCGGTTCCTTCTGCCCGTCTCGCTACCATGGGGAGCAGAGCTTCCAGCCGCTCTGCTCCCCGTCTCTGGAACTCACTCCCCCCAGACATCAGGAACGTCGACAGTTTTACCCTTTTCAAATCCAGACTCAAAACCCACATGTTTAAATCTGCCTACAACCTCTGATTTTATTGAAATGTTTCTCTCTGTTTTTTCTTCTTTGGGTTTTATTATTGTTTTATTGTATTTTATTACGTGTTTTGTGTAAAGTGACCTTGGGTGTCCTGAAAGGCGCTTTTAAATAAAATGTATTATTATTATTATTATTATTATTATTATTATTAAAATCATGTACTTTAAGACATGCAATGATTTAATAGGAATCAGTGAGAGTGAACGTGTAAAATACTTTCAAAGTGCAATTCATTAAAGCTGGGGGCGTGAAGGAAGATGTGAATTTTGGGACTGGCTGATTTCCACAGTTCAAGCAAACAGTCAACGTGACTGTTCAGTGAGTTGTGTGTGTGTGTGTGTGTGTGTGGGGGGGGGGGGGGGGGCACAATCAAACAAGGAAGAGGGCAAGTTCCTCGCTGAACCAAACCACAAGTTATGGATCTATCTGGCATTCATTCATAATATTCCCGGTACATCCTGGAATATGAGTGTTTTTCCAGCATTTTTTGTTGTTTACTTCTCATCCAACATGGCTGTTAGCAGTCGCTAGATATTTTAGCCTGCTTCAGGTTGCCTGACAGGTTTTATTGAACTGACTTCTTAATTCTACAGAACTGATATTACAGGGCCTGGGTACGGCCAGTGGAACGGGTCTCAGCTTTTCATATAAGGAAATTTTCTGACTTGAATCATTTAAGTGTCAAAAAAAGGTCTACATTTTTTTTACAGTGGTGCTTTCTAAAGTATATACGTTTATTCCACAGTAGGTGGTCTTATAAGACTAATTATATGTTTCTGTCATTTTTACAATTCACCAACGGAAACAGTTATTTAAAAAAAGAAAGCGTTGATTAAAATTTACGTGGAAAACCAGTTCTTTCCCATCAAAACCAAATAAACACTGAGCAGGGCTGGAATCAGAATGTGTTCTTTTGAGTTAGGCTGTGGGCCCACTCCACCTTCATTCTTCTGTCAATCCTGCAGGTCTGCTCTGTGTATATCTGAGCTTTATTACTCCCCTGAGAATTCCAGATTGAGCTCTGCTAAAAGCCTTTCTAATGTAATACTGGGATACAAATGAAGGTCATCTGAGACTGAGGAGTAGAGGGATACAGCTAAATAACAAAAAGGAGAAGAAAATAAGCAAGAAACACAAAAAACGGACACGGTTCAGAAGCAGAATCTTATAGAGAAGCAGTAAAGCACTTGCCTGGCGAGCCATCCTTTATATGTAAATATTTAGTATGGCCAC